AAAATAATTGACAATATTTGACTGGTCAATTGATCAAAGTCAAAAATGGTCAAATATTTTAAAAAAAAAACACTAATTTATTAAAACAGTAACAAAAAGTTTCCAATAGGCTTAGCCTTAGATAGATTATACCTAATTACAACAATCAAGTTACTTAACTGAGTTATTTTAACTCAGAAAAATGTGAAACATAATGAAACTAAGTTCTAAAAAATGAAAGACTAGGACCATGATGTAGTCAAGAAGGTAGGCCACCACCTTCATCAGGACACTCTTGCTGGAATATTTGACCCTGGTCAAATAATAGGAGGTTAACAGACAATATTTAACCAGTCAACTGACCATCTTGCCAAGCCTAGGTAAGAGAAATGACAAATAACGGAAGATTTGCAGAAATTATCTCCTACAGACCCCATAACTGAAGGACAGCAAGAGTCAGAAATTCCTCAACCAACTATTGTGAAGTCAAAAAGTGAACGGTGCTGTACTCAGAAGGAGGGATTTTTGTTTCAATTGGATACCATATTCTTCTCAGTTCTAAACCTAATCCATTGTGTACTGTTGCTCTGCAAATGCTGAATAGGTCCATCCTTCTACTTCAAAGATGGCTGTTTCAGGGATGGGTGAAGTGATTTCTGTTTGTTAAATGTTTTGGGATTAGAGCTAGTTGAATTTTTCTCTGTCAACGTGTGTGTGGTGGGGGGAGGGGTTAAGAAAAATGGCTTTCTGGAAAATTGTCCAACAGTTCAAAATTTTTGATCAAAACAAACTGAAAAACATTGCCTCATTTTAATACTATACGTTTTTGGGTTTTGTTATTTTTAGTCCCTCCCTTTCCTAGTGGAAGAAAGGGAGGAACCAAAGTTTTTTGCTTGGTTGATTGGGTTTTTTTTTAATTGGAAAAAAAAAAGTCCATAAAAAACTGCAAAAAGAAGTTTTTGTTTCATTCAAAAATGTTTACAGAAAATACTTACAATTTTTTGACCAGACTTATTTGGGATCCTTTGTGATGAAAGGCACCATTGTGGGGGGAGGGATAGCTCAGTGGATTGAGCACTGGCCTGCTAAACCCAAGGTTGTGAGTTCAATCCTTGAGGGGGCCATTTAGGGATCAGGGCAAAAATTGGGGATTGGTCCTGCTTTGAGCAGGGGGTTGGACTAGATGACCTCTGAGGTCCCTTCCAACCCTGATATTCTATGATTCTATGAAAATGTCAGAGGTAGTAGAAAAGAGGGCAAGAGTGAGAACAGAATTACCAGAGTTGGAATTTGGACAGGACCCAGAGATATCCCTGCTCTTGGCCCAGATGCCATAGGATAAATGGTGAGAATCTCAGTTGTCTCTCATAATTGTAACTCCAGCAGCACTGAGCCCCTGCTTCAGGCTGGAGAATTAGTTCAGCAGCAACTCAGAGCAAATTACCAACACCACTTTCTGGAGTACCTGGGTTGTTCTTGGAGTTCACACATCCACGTCCTAACCACACCTAACCCTACTTAGTTTACAAATAAGTATGGCTTCAAGCTAGCAGGGTTAGGGTGCATGAACCAGCCTAAAATCTTCCCACCTACCTAAATATTCATGCTGTGAAAAGCAAGAAGAAAGGGAATAAAAGGTTTGGAGGAGCCAACTCCATGCTGTGTACCAGAAAGCAGATACAAGACTATTTCAGAACCACGCTGTGAAATTAGTTTTTTGTGGCTGCAAACCTCAGACCAGTTACCCAGGGGTGGAGAAGCCTTCACACCTCAAAATCCACCACCACCACCCTCAACACTAACTGTCCCTCTTGTTGGCTTCTCAGCAGAGAAGTCAAAGACTGAATGGGCCCAAGAGACTGAACTATGCTGCAGAACCAATTCCTCCAAGGCAGGGGTGCAGTACATAGACTAAGGAACAGTGAAAGAAGCTTTCTTCACACAAACCAAGCTGTATCTGTTCTGTGGAAAGAATACTCTAGGGCTGTCACTTGAAGATCTTTCACTAGCACTGAAATCTCACAGAAATCTATACAAAATGAACAAGAATTCCAGAACAAGAAGTCATGCCCCTAACCTAGAAAAGCCTGATTTAGACACCTCAATTCAGAATGCACAGCAGTAAGAAATGGAGAGTAGGAATCAGCCAAGTCAGTTTAAGAACAACAGTCCCAATCTGAAGAATTCTCAAGGGCCTCACAAAAATAAAGCCAGTTCCAGTTTCAGATTAAAGTGTTACACAGAAAGAACAAGAAGAACTGTACTCACTGCTCAGAAGGGTGGCTGAACCAGGGGAGATGGAACTGACCCTGTTACTGTAACTCTCAGGCAAATGGTCAGACACTTTCCTAGGGCCAGCTTCCAGTAATAGGATTTTCTTCTCACGGAAGTGGACATCATGTCCTGAAATAGGCAAACATTTATTAAGATACTTTTAATAAAAACATTTATTAAGATACTTTTAATAAAAATTCATTTATTTATATATCAAGAACTCCCATGCATTTTGCAATGGGACACACAAATAAAATTCCCTACAGGGAAAAGCATACACAACACATATTTCTAACTAGGTAAGTACCGATTTAATACTATGGAGGCACTGTTCACAACTCCATAGTTAAGGTTTAAGATTCGTTTTGCAATTAAAGCAAGGATTCAACCTGTTTTGTATGAAAAACTACAGCATATCCTCCCCAGACTTACAGCACTTACTTTGTTGAGTACAGAACAAATTTTCTGAAAGTTTACAAGTAAATCTGTTAGTTTCTGATTTAAAATTAATTAAGAACCAAATTCTTTAAGAAATTTAGCATCCGTGAGCATCTTTTCTTTGTCCCAAAAGATCTTAATGATGGAATAACCCACGCACTTCAAACTTTTCACATAGTTAAAATTATTTGAAATCTTTTGCACAGGCTATACTTGAAAAAATAAGGTGGCAATTAAGCTAAGATATTAATTATTACTGTATTTAATTGTTATGGTTATATAGGCTACAATTAGGCTCAGGAAATCCATAAATGGGGTCACTGACATTAAAAATAAACTTGTCCAATCACTACTCTTCCTCTAAAGCGAATTTGCATGCAACAGTTCTAGTGCCTGTAATGACTCAGTAGTATGAAGGAGAGTGGACACTTATCAAGAATAGTTCTTACTGGTAGGTTACTTTGCCCAACTGTTACTGCTTTTTAAAAGTTCCATGGCTGCATATGAGCTTTGGGGATCAGCACTTGAAAGCCTCCCTGCAGCACATCTGCCACAGCTCCACTGCACCCTGAAGTACCACTCGGAAGAGGCAGGGATGTAAAGGGTGCCTTTAAGAGATATTTTGGACATAGGGACTAAGCTCTCCCTGCCCCCCTTCACATAGGGCCAGTCTCACATAGCCCTTTGAACCTATAAGTAGATTTCAAAGTAAGGGCCAGATTCACCAGTATACTTCAACTTGCCCTACTTCCAAATATTAACAATAGCACAATTATCTCTTCCCACCCCCCAACAAAAAAAAGGAAGATAAACAGGACCAGTGAAAACAGCCAGCTACCAGCTGGAAAGTACCCACTTATTTAAGAGCAAAAATTAAGAGCAAGGGAATGAATTGGCTTAAAATATTGGACTTTTTTTAAATTAATGAAAAAGAATTAAGTAAAAACGTGTAGGCTACTACTGTATAGTTTCAAACAGAGATTCTCCTTTTCTTACCCACAATAAATTGCCACTTCTCAATGAAAGCTTTTTCCATAGGAAGTGTAATGACTGCCCTAACTAAATTAGGGGCAACTCCATTTTAGGCCTGGTCTACACACAGTATAGAGTTATGGGTGTGATTCCCCCCGCCCCCATCAGTAAATCAGCACAATCCTTATAATAGATACACTTATACTCCTCATATAGGTTACTTCCCTTCTCCCTTTACACAAGTTACACCCCAATAAGCATCTGTATCCAGAGATAGCCATACACCCGCTTTGAGAGGTGGAGCGGAGCGTTGTACCGTTTCAACGCTACCAGCGGAGTGTGGACGAGTCTCAACCCGGGCACCACAAACCACTGCCGAGCCCCAGGTCTTGATGGAGTCTAGCCAGGGTCCTCCCTCTGCCCCAAGCCCCTCCCGCAGGCGGAGGAGGGGGAACCACTGCTGGACTCGGAGGCTTTTCCGATCACATTCACGACCACTCAGAACCAGGGCCCGACAGGGCCACTCATCGGGACACGCTCTAACCCCACAGCAAAGAGGATGGACCGACCCGCCCCCAGCCCAGGTGAGCACGACAAGGCCTTACCCAGCGCCGCGGCCATAGCGCTCCCGACCATCCCCCCGCCCGACACCACCACATCATACACCGGCCCGGTGCCTGCAGCCCGCACCGGGACCCTCCACGCCAAGACCGCGGCCCGCCCGGCCCGGAGCCCTCCTCTAAGCGGCGACAAGAGACCACATCCACCCGCGGACACCCACACCGCCATCACTGCGGAAGTGACGGATCCAGCACCATAACACCCGCCCAAAACGGAAGTGACAAAACAAGCGCCATGACAACGCGTATGTCAACAGCCTAGGTGCATGCCCAGCCACTCCTTCCTGGGAATGTCCTCCCAATCGATGAGCAGTGGGAAAGGCGATCATTGGCTATTGAGGCAGCGACGACAGAGAGGGCGGGTTTAGAGGCCTGGCCACACCGCTAATTGGAGTAGCCTACAGGTATCCACTGACCAATGAGCTGGTAGGGCCCGCCGGAGGGCGGGGCTAGGTACAGCCCGTGAGGACCAGAGATGACAGTAAAAAGAAAAGGAGTACGTGTGGCACCTTAGAGACTAACCAATTTATTTGACCATAAGCTTTCGTGAGCTACAGAGCCAACTGGGAGCCCAAAGCGGAGCCAAAATGGGGTCACCTGGGGGTGGAGCCGGGGCGCGGACCCGAACCCGAGAGGTGAGAAAAGGGAGGGAGCCGAGCACCAGGGGGCTGTTACCATGGGAACAACCGGCGTGTTCTTTGCCCTCTCCGAGTAACAGCTTCAGGGCGCGTGCGGGATTGACGGGCTGTGTGACGCAGTCACCTCAGCGCCATGGTCCCGTTACCCTGGCAACGGAGCACCTCCCCTGCCCTGGCCCCTGAGGGGCTCTTACCCCGATTGCGCGGGGGACTGAGGTCAAGGGAGGCCACGTGATTTGCCCGGAGTCGCCCAGGAAAGCCACGGCGAAGCGGGGACTTGAAGAAGCCAGGTCGCCCCGTGCCTGCACCACCGGTCAGTGCTTTGTCCCCTCCTGGCCCCCATCCCTCTTTACTAGCCAGATACCTTGGACATCAGCAGCTCCCTGAAATGAATCGCTGAGGGTCAGGAGGGATAGTTGGGCTCCGATTTTGGAAGGCTACAGGGGGACCCTTTGTCGGCCTTATGGAGAGGATGTAGCCTCTGCCCCCTAAGGTTACAGCCAGCTTCCATTATAAAACCTATTTTAACCTCCCTACAAATATAGCATGGAAAATGTACATGGCCTGACAACTGCCAGATTTACCCCAGAGGTCGAAGAGGGGTGTTTGTGTTACAGGTCATTGAAAAATTACCCTGACGTTTGTTTCTTTGTCACCCACTATCTCGGAAATGCTTGTTCATAACTCTCCACGTTTCCCAAATAGTTAAATCTCCTTAAAACTCCCAACCTGGCACTATTTGGGGAAAAACAGATTGTAATTAAGCAAAGTTGTTAATGAATTTTGTTGTAGATAGTTTGGGATTGATTCCTGCTGCCATTGACTCCAGTGAGAGTTAGAGGCTCAATCCTGCTCCCGTCTCTATAAATGAGAGGTTTTTTCTATTAATGGCAGTTGGAACAGGATTGGGTACCATAGGCCTGATTCACAGCTATGTCCAAAAAGTGCTGGACACAACTGAAGGTGGGGAGGAGAACATACAGGACTGAGTTGCATAGATTATAGTGTGTAAACTGAAACAGCCCCACCAGCAAGACCTTTGCATGACAGGGAGAGCTAGAGAGGCACTGGGTATTCTGTTTTTTGTGGAGTTTAGGTCAGCTCTTTTATGTTGTATTTTCTGCCTTCCTGCACCAATGGGAATGCAGCTGGCTAAGCTGGAGTTGGCATCAGAACAAGCAGTAGGCTGTGTGTGGGAGATGCCTCTCAGAGCTCAAGACATTAGTGTCAGACAGTTATTAATGGCTTTACTGAACATCCAGTCTGATCTCTCTAGGTGTTTCCACCTCAAGATTCTTCAGATTCTGAGCCAGAAACAGAGAGAGTTGGTGGTATCACTCAGCCCAGGACAGATGAGCAGCTGGATTTTCTCCAGGCAGGCAAGGAGATGGCAGCTGCCTCAGGCTCAGCTAAGGGGTATTATGACACATTGCAGGCACTCAAGATGAAAAACAGACAGTATCTGTTAGAACTGGGCTTGCTCTACCAGGTAAAATTGGAGAGTGACCAGAAACCCTTCAAGGAGGAACTGGAAGATTTCTTCCAAGACAACGGGCGATTGACTCTGCAGGGCAAGCCCTATGAGGCTTCAAGGTAGGACACATTGGAAAGCTGTTATTTTCCTTCTGCTCATTATCTTCCTGAAAATGCCTCCAGCTGAATACCGATATTGACCAAGTAAGTGAGGCCTAACCCTCCACTCAGTGGCATTTCTGTTTGTCTATCTGTAACATGATAACTTTGGAATACCGTGTTGGGTCAATGCCAAAATTTCAGGGAACGTTCTAGGCATCAAGGGGTGAGGGGCCCAGCTGTGTGTGCAGCTTGGCCTACATAAGCAACAAAGTATACAGATCTCTAGTATATTGCATTTATGTAGCACTTTTGATCAGAGGTTCTCAAAGGACTTTACAAATGTACATAAGTGTCACTTCTACCCAGCCAGAAGGTAGCTCTCTATTGCACGTCCCTTTGAGACTTCTTATCACTTTATTTGTTACTGCCTCTTTAATAATCATGTCTTTGTCCTACCCACAGATCTAGTATCATAAGCCAGTCCAGTTCTTTAACTGACCTAAACTTGGACAGTCCTTGGGATCAGCAAAATCCTCTCTCACTTCCTCAGTCCCACCTGAGGCCAAAGACTGCTGCATCTACCTGGGTCTCTACTATCACCATCCCCAAGCCCTTCAAGATGACTTTGCGTGAGGCTCATAAAAAGCCCCAGGTGATGAAATCACGTGCATCCCTTGAGATGGAGAAACAAAGGAACAAAAGACAAAGTCAGGAGGAGGCAGAGTGCCAGAAACAATTCCGGGCACAGCCAGTGCCTGCCCATGTCTACTTGCCACTCTACCAGGAAATAATGGAGCAGAATGAGATTCGCAGGGAGGTGGCAACACAGAAGAGAAAAGAGTTGCTCCTTTCCACTCAGCGACCCTTCAGCTTCCTGGAGAAGGAGGACAAGAAAAAGGAGGCCATCAGACAGAAGGTCTTGGCAGCACTGGCTCCAGTTGAGAACTCCAAACCAAAAGGCAGCAAGACAGTCCCTAAATCCATCTATAACCCAGTTCTTGGGGATAAACTCAAAGGTAAAGTGCTTAGTGGTCTTCCTGTAGGAGGGATTCCATGTCTGCCTCACTTTGCCAGTCATGTCTCTCGCTGTCTGGCTGCCATGACAATGCATGCTGGGAAATAACATGTTCTGCTTCTTGTCCTGTCAGGCTCTTCCTGATAGGGACATCTCTCCAGGAGAAGATTGCTCAGAGCCATAAGAAAGAAGTAGTTGTCCCAGATGTAGGGATTGAAAGAGGGCTGCTTGTTAGCCTGTCCGTCCACCATGTACAAACATTTATTTTATCAGAGTAAAGCAGGGAGGCAGGACTCTCACACCTTGAAGCAGGCAGTGAGAACTTCCCAGCATCTGCAGCATGTGAATTGGGAAGGCATTTTCTCCACCGTGTAGTATTGCATAGTTACATGAATTACATGAAGAGGTAATGCAGTTTTGGTGTAGCAGTGTTGGTCCCAGGATATTAGAGAAACAAGGTGGGCGAGGTAATGTCTTTTATTGGACCAACTTCTGTTGGTGCGACAAGCTTTTGAGTTACACAGAGCTCTTTTTCAGTTCTGGGAAAGGTACTCAGTGTCATAGCTAAATACAAGGTTGAACTGCATAAGTAAACTATCTGTTCAACCTTGTATTTAGCTGTGACAGTCAGAATACCTTTCCCAGACCAAAGAGCTCTGTGTAGCTCACATGTTTGTCTCTCTCACCAACAAAACTTGGTCCAATACAAGATATTACCTCACTCATCTTGTCTTTGTAATGAGGGAGTAATGGTTAAAGTAGATCAAAATAGGAGGGGGAGTCACCAATTCTAGTGATGTTGTCACGTAGTGACATGACATTGCATCAACCTGTGTGATGGAACATGGCCCAGAGAAGAGCATGGGAATGTTGATCTTTGAAAAAGATCCATGTCTCCAAGAAAGCTCATAGCTGTCCAATCATGAGCGTGTACAAATACACATGAATACACAGCATGGGAAAGGCTGTAGGAGCACATCCCTTGTGCTCCCAACCACCCCCTCCTCTCATACATCCCACCATGGAATGCCAGAACAGGAGAGGAACCTGATGGGGTAATTCACTTTTTCCCCTGGATGGGAGGGGGGAACCAGCAGTGGGACAGATCTTCCAAGAAGGCAGATGGGAGATTATAATTTGGCCAATCATTTCTCTCCTATCAGGTGCCACTGCTGCTCCACATATATTGATAATAAGGCTTGGAGTCCTATATAAGGTGCTCAGCCAAGCCACTGCTTCTCCTTCTTCCCCACTCCTGATTCTTCTACCAGATGAATCTTTATTTCACCAGCCAATGAAGAAGCAAGAGCAGGAGCCATAGAAGTTCTGACACGACACCTCTAGCTTGTTCGTCTTATATCAGGGGACAAGCTCTGTGATGGCACTGGCTCAGCTCCTTTAACTGGCTTGGCTGATGTCAATGCACAGGACTTTGTTAGGTTAGTGACATGCCCCTTTAGCTTACTTTGCTGATATCAAGTTAGAAGTCTCTCTGAAGTCACCAACTTAAAACCTCTAGATTTCTGGTCTGTTGTTAAAGGGAATGATGTTGTATGGTCACTCAGTGCCTCTTTTTGTCCGGACTGATGTCAAGGCATCTTTGAACTCATGGGCTCAGCAGCTTTAGCATGCTGTTCTGATGCCAAGGTACAAGTGCCCCTGAGCTCATTGGCTCACCCCCTCTAGCTTGCTGAGTTGATGTGGAAGTACAGGCCTTCATGAGGGTTACTAGCTCAGGGAAATTTACACCTTCTTCTGAAACATCTAGTATTGGCCACTGGTGGATTAGATAGATTTACAATATTTTCCAGTACAACAGGGGTCGGACTGTTGATTCTGAGCTACATGGACTATGATGGTCTGTGACAGAGTTGGCAGTGGAAGATTAAAGGACATGATCAATCTTAAAAGTTCAAGATGGGGAACATCTATTAAGTTATGAAAGTCTATACAAGATTGTTCCCCACAGTCTTGTTTCCAGGGCTCTATATAGTCCACTTTTAAATGTCCCAAGCACTGAGGCTTCCACCAGTTCCTTCAAGCAAGAAGTCCTTGCTAAGTACAGCTCTGTCAGGGAACTTTTCCTCATATTCAGCCTACTTGAAGACCCCTAAATAAATTTTCCTTCCTTCAGATATTTATAGACTTGTTACACTGTGGTTGTTGTTTAGGCAAATGGCACATACTTAGCTCTTGAGAAATCAATCCCCTAATCATTTTTAGTGCTCTTCTCAGTCCCTCAACCTTGTCAATATTTTTCTGGTACTATGGTGCCAAGCACTCAAACCACTGTTGCAGGCAGACCTCACCAGAGCCATGTACAGTCTCTCATCACCTCCATGCTCTGTGACATGATGTGTTTCTATATATTACCCAAATTTGCATTGGCCATTTTAAAGCCATATCGCATTTCTTTGCAAATGTCTAATTTGCTAATTGCTGTAATCCATATCCCTTTACATTGAGTGTGTTTGTTATAATTTTTTCAGCAGCTATACTATCTTGTAATGTACTATTCTAAATGGACTGTTAGACTGAATGGATAGGGAAGACATATAAGACACTTGGTTGGTTAGACAGCTGGTGTGATCTGAGAGTGTTGCCTGATTGGGTGGATCATTGTTTTGCTATTTTATGCTGTACCGTTATGGTCGATATCCCAGCAGCCCGTGTGGTACCCTGTACCATTGTAATTAGGTAACTGACCAATTGGATGTGCACAAGTGCAGGTTTCATGTGTTAGATAAGAATCAGTGGAAAAAATTGAACATTTTCAATAGAATGTCATGCTTAAGTCATTATAACCTTGTAAACTGTATAAACCTTGTATATTTCTGCACAAGCCCTATAAAAACCTTATTGTTCCATCAGCACTATCCACCATCCTGTCTAAAAGTGGAAAAATTATTTTGTGTACATAGTGTCCACGAAAATGGCACACGTGAAAGAAGTCAAAGTTGCATATTATCCCTACAACATACACTCTCCACCTCCCATGGAAAATTAGGCCCAGAAATGACATGAAATGAGGACTTCAGGGATGCAGAACTCTGCTCCCCACTGTATGCATTTTTACCCGGAATCTTTTCTAATATGGACTAAGGTTACTGGATCCTGTATAGAAAAAAAAAATCACCTAGTAAAAGTATACTCAAGTTACAATGTCTGGATCATGTGATCAGCCGCAGGGACATTAGTCAATAGAAGAAAACAACAGATCATCACAGAGCCCCCTTACCATCACATTCCTGCAGGACAGAAGGGTGCAGCTACCTTCCCCAGCACCCTTATGGTAGTGGTGGAGAAACAACCTGTCCAGTAACTGCACCCCGGAGGGATGGTGTGCTTAGTAATTTATGACACAGCAAGGGAGAAAAATCAGTCCATGGTGCTTGTGAGGGGTTGGGAAAAAGTCATAAAGGACCAATCTTGCATTTTGGGTAGAAAAATGCACTAAGCAAACAAATACTGAACACTCTACTTGTGTTAGCCTCTCCCATTATGATGAAATATTTGTAGGAGCAAGGTCTCACTGTGCTCCCAACCTCTCCCTTTTCTGTGTTGGCAGTTCCCAACACCCTCTGCCAGTCTTTATTCTCATTGATTTGGTTTTGTTTCCCAGAAGCTGAACTCTACAGGAAAATCCGCATTCAGATGAGAGCCAAGGATTTGTTGGAAAACTCCTTGGCTCCTATTGATCCTAGCAACAGACAAAGAGAGCCACAGGCCCGAATCGCCACCAAAACCAAACAAGAAAAACTCAGCTTCCTGCAAGACAACTTCAGCTTTAAACCAAGAATTAACCCAGCGGTGCCTGATTTTGAAAGACTTTACTGGGTGTTTCAGAGAGAAGCAATAAGGATACGAGAAGTCAAAGAGCCAACTCGTAATCAACCATTTAAACTGAGAACCTCCAATCTCCACTGCAGGCAGAGACAGGCTAATGAGCAGAAAATGAAGGTGAGGGGATGATGTGTTTCTGTAGCATTACACCCTTCACACCGCGCCAGGTGTCCGATTGCTGGGATCTCTGTCTTCTGATTTGTAATCATATATATTTTTACTGAAGCTGACCTACCTGACAGGGAGACCTGTCTGCTCTTGTCTAACATGGCCCCTTCCTAGATCCCTGGTCAGCCAGAGACAGGGCATTGAAGAGTGAAGCAAAGGCAGCCAAGGCTCAGCCACTTCTGCCTAATCCTAGACAGGTTCCCCACTGAGATCAATCTGTCTTCTGCCTGCTAGAGGAGAGCTGAGGGGAACAGACTCCGTTCAAGACCAAAGTCCAAGACCTTCCCCAAAACAAGACAGAGTACAGTGAGCTGCTTCTGCCAGACAGAGGGAGAAAACTGGGTTCATGGTGTAATATGAGCAGTTGGGCACCAAAACACTGATCCAGTGGGCTGCCTCCAGGAGTATCTGGGACATGGTAACCCAACAGTGTATTCCAGAATGATGAGAATAATAGCCTTTCCATTGTTCCGTTCTTTATACTGTGCTAGGAAGAAGTCATACAATGTGGTTTTTTTAAATATTATAATTTGCCTTATGTATTTTCAACAACCTTATTTCCTTATCTATATTGAACAATTTGTGCCATTTATTAGAAACTCACCTCTTTGTAAACATTATGCATTCTTACATTATTTTTTTAAATATTTTATAAGTAATCAAGAAGAAAGGGAAAATTCATGCAGAATATCTGCACAAGCTTGTGGACAACGACATGCATTAGGCTGTGGAATAGTCTTCCAAGGAAAGTGGTGAAAGATGGTCTTTAAAATTAGACTGACAAAACCCTGGAAAGTGATAATGCTGCACTGGGAAGAGATGGACAAGATTATCTTTTCGATCTCTCTCTTCAGTGCCTTGTTAAGGACTCCCACCAACCTCATTGGTAGGCGTGAATTGGAGGTCAGTCCTCACAGACTGCTGCAGACATGTTTGAGTCTCTTCAGTAGCCACCTAAAGAACAACAAAGGAGTTTCCGCACATTTCACAATTATACTAAACTAGATTTCATTTCTATCTGGATTTTCAGCAGCCTTCCAAGGCTCCAGTGCAAAGAAGTTGTTCTCTGACTGGTCTCTCCTCGCTCTCTTGCAACACCCTTCCAGTGCACATTACAGATGCAACAAGAAAGAGGGAATCAGCGATGAGGTGAGTAGGAAAAAAAGTACTTGGTTACAGAACCATGCCCCACTAATAATACAGTAGAGAAGATGACATTTGAAATAGTTTAGCTCTTCCCCATCACACCTGCCACTCCCACCAATGCCTACATTGGTTTTTCTGGAAGCAGCTTCTCCCCAATTGAATGACAAGAGGTGCTGCCTTCAGTAAGATATGTTTTTTTCCTTCTGCATGTCTGTCTCTCTCTCATTTCTTAAATAGTCCCATCACTTTAGTATCCAAGTGCCTATTGTTCTCCCTCTCTCATCTTCTTCCTCCATATATTTCCCCTTTGCTAATCCCTTTCCCTTGCTTGTTCCCTCTCTTACCATGCTCCTCCCAAGTATTTTTGGCATTACATGGCAGTAACACATTAATTATCTTTTTAGACAGGTTGTCACACTTCAGCATTAGCAAAGTGAGATTCCCAGCCAACATTCCTGCACTTTGAAATGAACCTGTTGCCCCGTTACCCACTTTTCTCTGTGTAGATACTCCCAGGAAGACAAAAAGAGCAGGGAAAATGAAGGAATTCATTGGATGGAGATACAGAGAAAAAAATGTCAGGCTATGCATAAATCTATGAGTAGTCGAGCAAAAGCAATGGATCCTCATAAAAGCCTGAAGGAGACGCACAAGGAGAAGATGAAACAAAACTGGTCAGTATCCCAGGCCACATTGATAGATAGCTCTTTGCAGCAGTAGCTTGTTTTTAACAACAAAAGATAATTGCTTTGGAAGGGGATTGAACCTGGCCACCTATGACCCAAAATCTACCTTCCTCGGGCAGCCATGCTCATTTCACTGTCATTTTTATTTTATTTTTTTTTGCATTTCAACACAGCTCTTTCCAAATAATAGAAAAAGCCACAAGTATCACATTTTCTGTGAATGCCTCCACCACTGCAACCTCAATATTTGTGTTTGTATTAACTGTTTCACTTTTCATCTTTAAGTGGAACCTTACCTAATACTGTGTACCCTGCAGCAGCATAAGTGCATTTTATCTGATGCACACAGTATGTGAAACAGAAGCAAAGTAATTAAGAGCATGTCCTGGGGATATTTGAGATGAGGATTTCCAACTTTTGATCAGAAACCAAGAAGTCAGTCTTAGGGCACCACAATTAGTCAGGGAACTTTTCCATTTCAGGCAGAATGACCGCAAAAGAACAAAGGAGTACAAAAAAGAACTGGAAGAAATGCAGATACGAGTCAAGAACCGACCATATCTCTTCGAACAGGTCACAAAGGTAACCACTCAAAGCTCCAGTACCAGTATGGAGCACAAGAAATTTTGTCAGCTAGTTTTTGAGATGAGTAAGGAAGCTGGGTGGAATTCAGTCAGGAATAAGAAGGTGCAAAGCTATGTAGTCTCTGGACTAAATTCAGAAAGGGACAGACCTAGAACAGCTTCCCATTTAATGTTTGGCAAACTCCCTGCCTCCCTCAGGAAGAATACCACTCCACTGTGCTCAGCTGCTCTGTGAAGCTTTGCAGCTACTTACTAATTTATAATGCAGTAACACCCCAAGGCCGTAATCAGGATTAGGGCTTCATTCTACCAGGCACTATATGAACTCCTTGTCCCTGCCCTGAATAACATAGTTTACAATGTAAAAATCTACAACTAACCATTTGAAGACCATACTCAGTTTGGTGTTTATTCTGTACTTTTGTTTGGAAAGTGGCAGACAGGTCCTAGAAAGAAACAATGTAGTCCCTCCAATCAACTGCAAGCTTGTTGGGCAGGGACTATTTATTCAGTACCTCTCATCACTGTACAGTATCCTCTACATATCATACTATATTAAAAATAAGCAGCTTAAAACACAAACTTTTACAGTGGCTGCAAACACTGTACCATGTAAAAAAACTCCCTTCTGGGTTTCCTCTTTCAAATTCTACACATCAGCTCTGAGCTGTGGAATAGTCTGATTAGATGTAGGGACAAGCCAGCTGCACATTAAACTAAGCCTCTTAAGAGAGCTGTCTTCCCAGCTCATGATAAAACTGTTCAGCTGAGCACTTGATCTGTGTGGGAAGAGAAAGACACAGGCATCTCTGTACAGTAACCCCACTGAGGTCAATCTCCTGTTTGTCAGGCTAGAAAGAATTAGCCAAGGTTGGTGTGGCATTCACTCACCTAAAGAGGAGGCCATCCACACTGATAGTATGGTTTAGCCTTTAGAAGAGCTGTCTAATTTCTGGATGGATGACATCTTGGAATGGGCAAATTTGCAGAGTTTAGTTGGAGTCAATGAAAGATGTTGGATTAGTGAGGGGGAGAGGACTTCTGGCTGCTTACAAGTGGATTGGGTGGGACTCCAAAGTGGATCTAATTCCCACACCAGTCCCACCTTACTCCCCTGTGCCTCAAATTACCTGCTTCCCGATCTCTCCCTCAAACTGGAAACCAGCACAGAGAAAGAAGGGTGTAGCTAAATCAGGATTGGGGTATAGCTGTTGGCCTACTAGGACGAGGATGCTGTTCGCAGGGGGTGTGAGAGGGGCAAGGAACAGGAGTGTGGAAGGAGGTGGCTCACAGTTGTGACTCTGAACAGAGCTTTCTCTATTATCACAGCCCCTGTGTAGCTGCTAGGAACCGAAACCTTCTAGATAGAATTATTTTAGGGTGTCCATTATGGGGAAGGACCCAGTTCAGGTTGGTTCATTTTTCTGTTTCAATTCCATAGCATGATGCCCGGCAAGAGGCAGAGAGACACTACCGGGACACCCTTTGTCAGGTGGGGCTGAATGAGGAATTTGTAAGGAACAAAGGGAGAGATGCTACTGACCTACCAAAGGAGGAAGAGACTGAAACTCACAGGTAATCAAAGCAGTAAGGATATAGAACCAACTCTCCTGTCTTTGGCTAGACAGAAACATTCTTCCTCCTTGTTCCCAAAGAATTCTAATCTGTGCCATCACAGGTGAAGAGTATAATTCAGTTATGCTGTATCAAGTAATAAGGCTCCCCTATTGCTCTTTGTGCTTATGACCCGTATGACCAGACTTCTGCTTCTCATGCATAAAGTAGCTCAGATCATTTCCAATAGTTAACAAAAGGTTCTGACTGTTTCTACAGAGCGCAGGAGTCTCAGAGGGACACAGACATTGGCACGATACAGGAAGAAGAATCTTAGGAAGAGCAGAGAACAAAGAAAATGACAACATAAGAACCCTGCACAAGACTCAGTGGACCTACTTTCAATTATTTCCTTTAGTCCAAGATGCTTGAAAGCAGCAGTTCTAAACTTTACACTTGCATGACCCCATTTTCAGACTTATTGCTTCCTGTGACCTGACAGCATGGAGGATGCCATTTTGTAGAGCAAGCATGATCTCACACACACTGTCCATGCAAGGTCACGCTGTGTGGAGCAAAGTGGCATCCTCCACACACTCAGGAGCACTGTAAACACATCCACTGATGACATGACTGCAGTCCCATCTGCCGATGGCACAATCCCACTTGGGGTCACAATCCATAGTTTGGGAACCAGTGTTCTAGAGTTTCAACAGTAGAATCTCAGAGTTATGAACACCTCGGAAATGGAGGTTATTTATAACTCTGAAATATTTGTAACTGAACAAAACATGGTTGTTCTTTCAGAAGTTTACAACTGAACATTGACTTAATACAGCTTTGAAACTTTACTATGCAGAAGAAAAATGCTGCTTTCCCTTTTTTTTAGTAGTTTGCTTTTAACACAGCACTGTACTGTATTTGCTTTTTTTTTTTTTTTTCTTTCCCCTCCCATCTCTGATGCTGCCTAATTGTGTATTTCTGGTTCCAAATAAGGTTTGCAGTTGGTCAGTTTCTAACTCAGATTCTATTGTCTTTTCAAGTGTCTGACTTAAGAGAAAGTTGCTGTGGTTTGGATGACATAGGAAGACTATACACAGGAGCAAGAAGGATTGACTCTTGCCTAGAACACTTCTTGCCCCTCTCCCTGGTCTCCTCCTAAATCCCTCAAAAGTGTTCCTCAGTGGACTCATTTCCCTGTCCCTTATTCTGGTTTTCAGGTTTAGAACCAACAGTGAGACTGCGTGAAGCAGGGAGAGAGGAGGGTGATGGGTTGGGGCACTATTGCTGAAAAAAGAGAGGTAGACCTGAAGGCATGTACACTTGTGTTCACTTCCTTTGTACTCAAAAGACTCTGAATGGAAAGGGAAAATTTAGTAGATTTTAAAATTTTGCTCTGAAGCTGTCCCTTGTTTTTGATGTTGATTTCTGTTGATGTTTCATGTTGCATATGTATGTTGAAGTGGATTTTAAGTAAGATATTTGTACAGAATAATAGGTTTATGGATTTGAATTCCCCTGGGGAGAAGATTTGAAAAGAAGTTCTTCTCTAGCATCTTGCCTCTGCACCAGCTGAGCAGCAGCTCTGCTCCTCTCCTATTGTTATGGAGACACGGTCTTGCCATAAAAGTTGCAACCACTTTCCATTATAAAGCTCTATTTTAGCCCCTTGTAACTTTGGCTCAGATCATGGGTTTGGCATGATTTACTGTGAAGGGTGTCAGTGCAAGGTTTGAGGAAATTCGTCACATTTTGAGCTCCATGTAATTAAAAAGCTATCCAAATCTGAAGTTTGGGCTCCTGTCCAATGTTGTTCTCTCCTAGCTCAAAATCAGTTTTTTAAAACCCCTTAAAGCTCCCTGAAGTCATGTCCTGCCTATATGCTGTAATTAAGCAAAGTTCCTAGAAATATAGGGCTGGAAGGGAACTTGAGAGCTCTTCTAATCCAACTCCTTGTGCTGAGACAGGACCAAGTATACCTAGACCATCCCTGACAGATGTTTTCTAACCTGTTCTTAAAAACCTCCAATGGCAGGGATTCCACCACCTACGTTGGGGGCCTATTCCAGCACTTAACTATCCTTAATGACAGGGTTTCAGAGGAACAGCCGTGTTAGTCTGTATTCGCAAAAAGAAAAGGAGTACTTGTGGCACCTTAGAGACTAACCAATTTATTTGAGCATGAGCTTTCGTGAGCCACAGCTCACTTCATCAGATGTGTACCGTGGAGGTTCTTTAATTGTGATGGCTGCTTTACAGTAAACCAGAGAAAACAAGTCAGGCTTATGCATAAATGGTTACCAAAATTTATTAAAGCTAGATTCTAATCATGTGGTTACAAAATTGCTAGTGCCTACTTATTTAAATGTAGAGATGTTACACACACACAAACAAGTTACAAAACTGAAGCCACAATCCCAAAGAAAGAAAACAAAGTATAGAGCTCTATTTCAAAATATGTGTACACTAAAGATAGGAGATCAGGTGTGGGTGCTTCTTACCCTCCTTGCATCTCTCGATTCCAGCGGTGCCAAGCCAGGATGTCACTCAATTCCGCGGAAAGACGAATAAGGGACAAGGTAGGGACCTCTTAGCTGCAGAAGCCTTGGGAGGCTGTCACTTATCTGACCAGCAGATAGATAGGAAAAGCACTCAAAATCATGGTGCTGTAGGTCCCCTACTTATACCTCTGTACTCCTTTATTCTCTTTCTCCTTTCTTATGCCAAATTGAGGCTGGTCTGTCGGGGTGACGGCAGCTTTTGCAAGAGTAGTTTACACTTGCAAGGGAGAGAAACAATAAGTTTCGACTACTGGACATTTCTTTTATCAGGGTAAATATTTTCCCACCTAGGATGTTGGTGTGTGTGCATCACGCTACTTAGTAGGGGCTAAGAGCCAGGTCTGTCACAGGGCCTCTGCCTGCTGTGAGCTTAATCGTCGTATCTGTTCCCAGAGGCACAGTTTCCACGGTACACATCTGATGAAGTGAGCTGTGGCTCACGAAAGCTCATGCTCAAATAAATTGGTTAGTCTCTAAGGTGCCACAAGTACTCCTTTTCTTTTAACTATCCTTATAATTAGAAAGTTTTTCCCAATATTTAACAAATTTCCCTTGCTGATTACTTCTTGTCCTACTTTCCCAGAACATGGAGAACAATTGATCACCATCCTCTTCATCACAGCCCTTAAGATTTTAAACACTGTCAGGTCCCCCCATATTTTAAAACTAGTATCAAATCGTCTTTTCTCAAAACTAAATACATCCAATTTTTTATCCTTTCCTTGTAAGTCAGATTTTCTAAACCTTTTATCATTGTTGTTGCTCTTCTTAGGACTTTCCAATCTGTCCACATCTTTCTTAAAGTGTGCCACCCAGAACTGTCAAATAGAGCAGGACAGTTACTTCCGCCTTCTTACATACGACATTGCAGTTAATGCAACCCAGACTGATATCTTTTTTTGTAACTGCATCATACTGTTAGCTCATATTTACTTTGTGATCCACCTCTACTCTCCCCTGCCCCGATCCTTCTCAGCAGTATTACCACCTGGCAGTTATTTCCTCTTTTGTAGGAAGAAAAAATTAAATGCACCCCTAAGTGTAGTACTCTTCACTTGTCTTTATCGAATATTATGTTGATTTCAGACCAATTCTCCAATTTGTCACAGTTGTTTTGAATTCTAACTGTCCTCCAAAGCGATTACACCCCCCCAACTTGTGTCATTTGCAAATTTTTATAAACATACTCTCCACTTCGTGATGCAAGTTATTAATGAAAACACTGAATTTTACCAGCCCCAGAATGGACTCCCTACAGAATTCCCCTCAGGTGTGTCCCCAGAGTTTCACAGTCAACCACTGATTACTACTCTGAGTACAGTCTTTCAACCAGTTTTGCACCCACCTTACAATAATTTCATTTTTTTTCCAATTTCAGTTTCACAAAGCCAACATTTCCCTAGTTTGCTTTTTTGTTGTGGATGGTTTTGGGACCAGTTCTACTACTGATATCAGTGGCTGTTAGGGGACCAAGCCTGTCCCCATTAACATTACTGGGAGCTTTTTCTACATGGATTTCAGTGGGACCAGGCACTATATATGAGTATGTCCACTGCACTGCCTGGCTGCATCTTAAATGATATAAAGGGTATTTCTATACCTGACAGCAAATAGAGATCTTCCTTCAGATAACAGCGGGGGTGAGATAGTCTGTGTTTTTAGGGGTAAGTCTCATTGACAATTAGAATATTTTCTGAAAATTGTGCATTATGTCAAAGTGCTTTGAGATTAAAAGATGTCTGTTTCTTTGTACCACCCTATCCTTACTCTCTGTTCTCTCTGCATACCCTTCAACTTGGAAAAAAAGAAGGTAGGCGTAGGAGTTGGCACTTTCCTTTCCACCAGCTGAGCCAGTGCCCCAACTTGAGTTGACACACCAGTGCTGCAGGGTAGCAGTCCTTCTCATTGGCTGAGCCTCAATAGAATCTTAGCTTTCATTTAAAACAAAAAATTAAGTTTTCTAGCCTTTCTGGTTGAAGCACCTTCTAAATGTGGAACCAATGCAAGTGCTGAGTCTGCAGACAGAGAATGGAACAGTATCTCTGAGAATCACATATTGTCCCTTCACTATAGCAAAGGTCCCTACCTACAAAAGAGCCACTGTTGTTCCATTAGGCAGGGGTACGCTGTGCAGAGAGGTTTCAGGGTGTGAGCAGTCTGGTGGCCAGGGCACTACATAGGCCAAATCCTGTCCCATAGAAGGGTCACAGAGGCCTCTCCTGTTACTACAGCCCAGAAGAAAGTGGTGGTGGTGAAGGGACTGTATTGTCGCTGTGTGCCATGCCACTAGGTTGGATGGGATGGGGAGAACAGAATTCCTTCCCCACCCCAAATCATTTTCTGTGTAAAGCCCATTTATACTCAGGCTTATAGGTGTGTACCTGTGGGGTGGCAGGAAGTAGCATATTGTCCTAAAGATGTAAACTTCGACTTTTATCTCAATGGGGTGCTAACTCAGAAGTCTAATAACAATCATTTAAATGTCCACACAGCTAACAGTTTCACCACAGACCATTATAACAGAAAGATCCAGAGTTAATTGGATCGATGGAACATGATTAGAGCACCATTACCTTTGTACTCACCCCGGCTACCATCTAGCACGGCTGACATGTTTTCAACAGTGACCCTTGCACATACTGTCTGTGCCACACTTTGGGAGAAAGATATACAAATTATTACATTTACAGAATTTAAATAAAAACACTTTCTGCCAAACCAAATCAGAAGCCAAAGAGCGAAACAGGCTGTTTATTTACAATACAGTAAAACACTTAATCTTCTACCTCTGATTTTTAAATAAAAAAAACTAAACATACTAATAAGCATTTTAGAAATGAAGAAATATGGGGCAAAGCAAGAAGCAGAGCTGGCTCTGAGGTAATCCTCTAACTTGTGTCTGGCCTCAGACTCTGGGGCAAGGTGGAACTCTAGGGAACATATTTTCATAAAGCAAGGAAGAGTGGTGGAGAAGCTCCTGCCCCTCAAGGAAGAGCCTCAGATTCTAGTTAGGGTCAGCCTGGAAATAAACCTTCAAAACTCAGAAGGAAGAATGGGACTGCAATGCTCTGATTTAGAATCCACAACACCCTAAATATTCTCCTCTAAGAAAAGCCCCTATTAGTTGCTTAAGCAATACTAATAATGCCTTGTAAGTGCTGGAGCTTGTGAACAAACTTCAGCTTCAGGTGAAAGTGGTTTGATGTTGCAGTGGTGGAAGTGCTGCATCCCTCCCGATGGCAGGTTTAGAAAGTCCCACCTGTCAGTCCAACATGATTAGTGGCTCCTGAATTTAGCTTCAGGAATATGCTTCAGCAACCAGGAACTCTCATGTTCTACATCTCATATCCCATTCTGGGCTGCAGTTTAGTTTTTGTTGCAGCAAGTCATGAAAAGTAAACTGCCTGCACAGCATGTACTCTGGATTCAGGTCCTGCATCTCTCCTTTAAGAGATCTGCACACAGAAGTCTGTTCTTTAACTTTACATCCTGTGTCTTCTCTTACTAGATCATTGGTTTCTTCTTCCTTTTGTAACTGTAAAGTCAACACACACATAGTTCAGATTAACATTTATCTGCATACATAGCATCATCAGTATTCTGCACATAGAACTAGTTTACATTCTTCCAAATCACCCACAACTGTCCTGCTACCCACAAACACCCAACCTGTTCTAAAAAGCTTGCCACAACATGCAGCCAAAGCAAGCATCCCTGCTCCCAGGACCAGGTCACCTGCCTCCCGGTTTTCAGAAAACTCATTTTCCTAGGCAGCCATCTGAAAACTTATGTTGAACCCCACTCTGAATTAAAATTTTAAAGTGTCTGGAAGGAAGAGAGGGAGAAGAAAGAATGGCAGGAGGATCGGACTTAATCTATAAACCTATTAAGTAAAATTGCAACTGAAAAGAAGCCCAGATTGGAGTAAAAATAGTGGCACAAAGTGAACTTGCTGAATGAAATTATTGATAAAAGAGTCTGACAGTCAGTTTTCAGACTTGTTACAGCGACCTCCCACCAAAAGAAAAAAATTCTTAAAAGGGATGGAAGTGTCTATGTGAAAAATCTAAAGCTTGTTTTGATTGGACAAGATTGCTACTCCTTTTAGGCAGTTCTGGGGAACACTTAATAACATAGGATCATTTGACTGAATCAAAGATATTCCACCCAGACGACATCATTATTCCCATGGCTATGTCCTGAGCAACAGCTAAGGTTCCAGCTATCTCTGTCTGGCATGTACATTTCCTCCCATCTATTTTATATCTTTCTCTTTTTGCCTTCTATATAGTAATAGTTCAGTTTAACCAACCAGAATAGATTTAATGTTGCAGTATTTTGGTGAGATCTGGTTGGGAAGCTAAATGCAATTCCTGAGCAGCCTGTCTTAGTAAAATTTTGCCAAGGCCCTGGGATTTCCAGTTGGGTCCTGTACTGTGCTTGTGATCTTCCAGCAAATGAACTGCAAGTCAGACACACACCCTCTTTTGCTATTTTTATTCTCTTGCCTTTGTGTATGTTTTTGCTTGTCCTAAAGACAAACAGGATTGGACTTTTAAACAATTTAAGAACTGAGAACGACCAACTAAATTTGATTCAGTTCAAATAAGAACAGTTGATGCCATTTAAAGAGACTTCAAACACAGATCCTCCCTTTAGTTTAAACTACTCCTTACAAAGGGGGAGGTGGGAAGGGGAGAGAAGGGAGAAAATGGTATTGCTAAAATAAACAGCTAAGTTTTAAATATTATAGAGCGTACTATGAATTTACCCACATCTTGGCATTGTAACCATGAACTCAAGTTATGCTGTGACAGTAAAAAACAACAAAATATGCGACTTAAAAACCATCTCTGATCATCTTAACAAAACGTGCTGTGTTCTCAGGCCAGGAAGTTGTCTTTCTTTTGGTCTACAAATATCTTAGAAACAACAATGTGAAAATACAGACTCTTCATTTTTATTCTGAAGTTTAGCAGCAACATTAGATTTTTTTTTTTAAACTTTAAAGAAGGAATAAAGGCCTGCTCAACTGACCTGTACATTTACTGTAGTAAAGCAGACACCCCATAGGAGTGTCTCCCTGTTGACATGGTGACCAGGTGATGAGATTGTGGCAAAACGACATCAGGTGCTGACTGAAGGGCTCCTGGTGTCGCTTCAGCAAGAACCTCTGAGAATCACAACACATTGACAGACAGTGGCACCACACGTTTAGATTGCAATTTGCAAACAGACCTATTTAATTGGAGATTAATTTAAGTGCATCAAATCACCCTGAGCTCTTCATGTGACACACCAAACAAACTTGATTGTGGCCTTCAACAAAATGACTAAGTTAGGAGGATGAAGAGAACATAGCAGGTATAATTTAATTACATTAAGTAGTACATTTATTTAGGCTATTAAGAGCCAGCCCTAATAGTGAGATGTATTAGCATAGTCTCTCAAGGTAAAGGATGAAAGGCCTGTTGCTTGAAACATTTAAAACATCTTAGGTTTTAGGAGAACGAGCTGCAGGAACAGTATTGCAATGCCTTCCCAGGACATGGGCTAAAGAATTAATCTCTTTTCCATCTCCAGCTTTATAATTCATTCTCCATCTACTCATCCCACTACGTGCACAGTAAAAGCAACACTCAATCATCCCTCTGCATCATAGTGAGACTGGAGGAATGACCCTACTTCAGTCACCACATATAAGGGGGCGGAAAAAAGAGCAGCTGGTCTCACCCTCCTCTACTCCAATAATAGACTCAGTATCTGGCAGGTGCAGAGACTCCACGCCAAGACGAGGCTGAGAGTTCATGGAGATCAGATTCTTACTATGCACAGCTGCTTCTTCCAGCAAACTGCTGCCCACCAGCGACTCTGTTACAAAAACAACGTGCTGTGAACTATCTAGACTCTGCCTTTGCAGCTCACCACCCACAGAGGAAGGGACCTCTCTGTCTCATACAGACCCAGCGAAAATGTCTATTTTCCGAAGATACCCACTTCCATGAATTCCCACTCTTGGGTCTGTGCTTCCAGCACACCACCAGGTGGGAACTCCCAGAGTTTTAAAATGTTAAGCCCTTAGAACACCTGCAATACAAACAGGCAGAGGTGGATATATTAGGTGAATTACTTATATAGGAAGAATAGGTTCTGCACCCTAAAACAGAGGAGAGGTATGTATGAAGAGCATAAGCTTCCCTTCAAAAGGGACCAGATTCAAGATTTTTCAAAGCAAGGGCCCACCTGCCCCTTGGCTGTCACCCAGAGATGCCCTCCTATCTTTTCCCCTCAACCTCTCTCACCTACTCCTTTCCCTTCACCTTTCCCAAGAAGTGTTTCCTCCGATCCAGACAAGAATTCCCTTCTCCATCCTTCCCTAAACTCCTTAGGGAGGGACAACCTGCCTGCCCCCACTGGCCTGTCCTCTCCTATTCCTGTAAGAACACACTCTCTCACCACCACCTCCTCCTCCTCCCCCCCCATATACCCGCTTGTTCACTCATGTGTCGGAGTACCCCCCTCACATGCCCATCCCAGGGAGGATGCCTTTCTCTCCTGCACATTCCTTACCCGGTTGCTCTCGCTCTCTGCTTCCAGCAGCTCCAATTCTGGAGTGGTGCTTTCTCATATGCACATTCCGGCTACCACTCTGGGAAAATGTCTTCCCACAGATATGGCACTGATGGGGCTTCACTCCTGGAGGGGGGGAAAAAAAAAAAAAAAAGAACAGACCAAGTTGATACTTCTGAATTTGGAAGTAAAGACCCAATCAATAAATGGGAATATGGAGTCAAAAGGATAACATCATTGGCACTGAAATTCAGGTTAAAATCAATTCCTGTTTTCTAGAGAGAAGTAATTCTATCAGAAGGGAAGCACTTCAGAGATCAATGTTGCAAAGTGCTGAAAGAATCAAGTCTTGAGGAGGACTATCAGGTTCTCAGCCCTGTTTTGTGAGGATGTGTAAGTAATTTGCAGTGTCTGGCTATGTGCTCAGGAGAGATGTGGAAACATTTGATCTCTAGTTTGTACCTAGAATGTACTCTAACCAAAAGAGGGGTACTGGATGAGGGCAGAGTCTTGTGCAGTCTGAAAGATGTTGCTGTCTCTGGCCCACGCCATGAGGACAAGGCAGGGTCTGGTGTCCAGCCTCTAGTTAGTACGTAGGTTCGCTGTTTAAAGGCCAGCGTTTAGAGTTTTCACCGGACAATGGTGTTCATGGCCCACAAATGGAAGGCCAGTGGAGATGCTGTTCAAGGAAAAGGGGTGGAGTTAAACTTAATCCCAAAGAAACTATAAAAAAAACAGCCCCTACCTGCCGCACCCCACAGCCTCATTGAGGACACCAGAACAAACCACATTTGGAGTTTGCTGACCACGTTTGATGTTCAAAAGAGAATGGAGACATTTTTACAAAAGTGAAAATACCTCTACTATTTCAAACTCCTGTCTCCCTCTTTGTCCAATTACCATGAGATTAAAAACCAACACACACTCCCCCAAACCTGCTCTTGCCAACCACCACATGAGAGAGAGCTCAGATGGAGTGATTCTGATGATTATGGGGAGCAAAGGTTAAAATCTATCTTATAGTAGAAAGCTAGTTAAAACTTTAACTATGTTGTAGCTATCTGGCTCAATGACAAATATTTTATATAAATCAGTGAAATATTTGTACCTTTGAATTTAGAAATGGAATAAGCTAGAAAGGAGATGCAGGAGATAAATCAATCTAGTTTGTGTACTTGTGGCCTAACTGGCATCACAGAGACTTGGTGGGATAAATATCATGACTGGAAAACTGGTATAGAGAAGAATAAGTTGTTCAGGAAGGGCAGGCTGGGAAAAAGGGGAGGAAGTGTTGCACTGTACATGAAGAATGTATACACTTGTTCTCAGGTTCAGAAGGAGGTGAGAGGCAGACCAGTTGAAATCTCTTGGTAAAGATAAAATGGGGAAGAAGGAAAAAAAAAAAAAAGCAGACAGGGGTCTACTACACAACACCAAACTGGGAAGGAGAGATGAATGAGGCAATTCTAGAATAACAGAAATACCTGTAATATAAACATAAGACCTGTAATAATGGGGGATTTTAACCTTAACAGATATCTGTTGGAAAAGTAATACAGCAAAACACAAAATGTCCAATAAATTCTTGGAATATGTTGGGAACAACTTTTTGTTTCAAAATGGGGAGGAAGTAACAAGGGGGACAGTCATTTTAGACTTTGATTTTGTCTAACAGGAAGGAATTAGTTGCAAATCTGAAGGCAATTTGGGGGAAAGTAATCACAAAATGATAGATGTAATGATTCTAAGGAAAGAAACGAATGAGAGCAGCTGAATATGGACAATGAACTTCAAAAAGGAGGCTTTAACAAATTCAGAGAACTGGTAGATAAGTTCCATAGGAAGAAAATTTAAGAGAAAAACAAGTTCAGGAGAGCTGGCAGTTTATCAAAGAGAGTATCTATATTCAAGGCACAACAGCAGACTATCCTGGTGTGAAGAATTAGAATATGGAAACATGGCTGCATCAGAAGCTCTTTAATGGCCTGAAAATCAAAAAGGAAAAAATTGCTAAAGATGAGTGTCATGCTGCCTGGAATGGCTCACAACTGTGAGTGCCACTCTCCGATCAGACTGTCAGAAAACAGGGAAGACACCTCAAAGTGGTGGTATGTTCTATAATTAGATTTCACTAAGCCAGTAACAAACGTGAACTCCTGGATCACTACATTAGCCTTACCATGGAGTCACGGATAGCCCCCTTAGGCGCTCCAGCCGATATTACCATCCAGACAACTGGACTTTGTGATACTAGTCATTATGCCAAATATCACATCACCGTAGGTTACTCCTGTGATGTTATAGGATTAAAATATGACCATGTAGATCATTGTTCCTACCACTGTTATATAATTGCAACAAATCTTGTACAAAGTATGTCATGTAAGATGTCTTTGGAAAAGTTTTGATTTGCTGAATATGATTACACTATTTGTATACATGTATAATTTTTATAGCTAAAGTTATGAATATTGACTATGTACCTGTACTTCAAATGTGTCTGCCCCATGGTAGTTTGCATCCATGGCCAGCACACTGTGAATGGAGTATTCAAGTTGATGGCTCATCAACAAACACAATGAACCATGAAAGAAACCTATCCACACCTGACATGGGTAAAGACATCTGCTATGACTCAGCAAAGCATGCATGGACATGTGACTTGCCCATGTGACTCCAAACTCCATCTTGTTACTTGTATTTTTCCCACAATCTGTGTGGAGGACTTTGTTTGAAAAAAATGGGTTTCCCTCCACATGGCAGAAGCTATAAAAGGCACTGGAAGCATCTCCATTTTGCCTCTTTCCTGCTCAAACCTCTGAATTATGAACTTATACTATGGGAGCATTCTAACAAAAGGACTAAGGACCTTTCAATGTTTTGGAAGTAACCAAAGACTTAACAAGCCAGCAGTTTATTCCATCATTGCTACAAGTTTGATCCAAGAACCTTGCGCTTTTTGTATGTATTTGATTCCTTTAACCAATTTTAACTCTCACCTTTCTTTCTTTTTATAAATAAATCTTTAGATACTAAAAACTAGCAACAGCATGATCATTAGGTAAGACCTGGGTATGTGGCAGTATATATTGACCTGGGTATGTGGCAGGTCCTTTGGAATCAGAAAAACCCTTTGGTTGATGAAACTGGTTTTAAATAACCACTCATCATTAAGTCTAGTGTTTTTGGTGGTGATACAAGGACTGGAATACCTAAGGAGACTGCTTTTCTGACTTCTTGTTAGCCAGTGTGGTGCAACAGAAGTTTACTTCTGTTGCTGGTCTGGTATATCTTATGGGAGAATAACCACCAGTTTTTTTTGGGGGGGGGGGTGTCTGCCCTATTTCTCAGCAGTTTGTCCTGAATTTGGTATTCTCAGTTATGACCCACTGAGGCACAGTGACAACTCCCAACCAAAAGGGTCAGTCACTTACCCTAGGTCAATGGATACTCTCAATCTCCAACCAAAGACAATGCTGGCAGCCAATTTCTCTAGTAAACTAACTAAAGATTTATTAGCTAAGAAAAAGAAACGTTATTGAAAGGTTGAAAGCAGGTAAAATACATTAACAGGTCAATAAGTCTGTAAGTCCAAAATGACAGCAGAGATGTAGTAATCCGCTAGTTTTCTAGAAGTCTCTCAGGGTTACCCAAAACAATTTTGGGGATCTCTGTCTTGCATCTGGAATGCTTCCCTGAGAGGTGTCCAAATAGTTCATAGATATATTCCCTGGATCCATTCTTATAGCTCCTTTCCATGGAAAGCAATCTGGGAAGTGCTTTCATTCACAGTATGGGCTTCTCCTTGGTTGACTAAATGCACACTGAGTCTGCAAATTTCCATTGTTGAACATAATGACCCAGGCTTTAAAGTTAGCAGCCCTCTTCATTTACATTTCCAAGGCTCCAATTGTGTTTGATTGGTAAAAGTAATTACCAGGATATAAACTATGTAAATTGTAATGTAATAGCACACATCAGTCCTTCCTTAGTTTTCATGAAGTTTACACATCAAGTAAATTCTCATCCTAATACTAACTCACCTTTTGATCTAGGGTTAATTAAGTACAGGAATATACATAACGTAATGCGATAGCAATCAACAGAATATAGACAGGTTAAAACAATATCTATTAACACATAAGTGAGTTAATCTATGTACACTAGACTACTTAACATTTCTTTGATATTCACACAGAAGTGAATTGGCCTACGGCTCTGATCTGCTGGGCTGTCAGCATCACAATAAGTATCGGAATAGCACAAGCATGCAGGGACAAAATCAGAAAGGCTAAAGCACAGGGTTGCACCTAGCCTAGCAAGGGACATAAATGACAATAAAAAGAGGTTGTATAAATACATTAGGAACAAGAGAGAGAAAGATGAAGGAAAGTGTAGGTCCACTACTTAGTGGGGAAGGAGAGCAAATAAGGGAGGAGACCAAGAAGGCAGAGGTGTTTAATGTCTATTTTGCTTCAGTCTTATCAAAAAAGGTTAACTGTGACCAGATGCTTAACACAATTAATATTAACAAGATGGAAAAAACACAAAGTAAAAGAATAAGGTAAGAACAGGTTAAAGAATATTTATATAAAAAAGTCAGATGTATTCAAGTCAGCAGGGCTAGATGAAATTCACCCTAGGGTACTTAAGGAACTAGCTGAAGCAATCTCAGAACCATTAGTGATTATCTTCAAGAATTCATGGAGGACAGATGAGGTGCCAGAGGACTGGAGAAGGGCAAACATAGTACTTTCTTTAAAAAAGGGGAACAAAGAGAACCCAGAGAATTATAGACCAGTCAGTCTAACTTCAATACCTGGAAAGATCCTGGAACAAATTATTAAACAGTCAGTTTGCAAATACCTAGAGAATAATAGGGTGATAAGTAGCAGTCAATGTGGGTTTGTTAGGAACAAATCATGCCAAACCAATCTAATTTCCTTCTTTGACAGGGTTACTGGCCCAGCAGATGGAGAGGAAGCAGAAGTAGTCAATCTTTTACTCCTGGGGGCATTCTGCACCAAAAAAAATAAAAATTCTCCACACAATATTTTAAAGTTCTGCAAAATTTGTCAAAATAACACTACATGATCACACCAGTTTCAATTATTTTGGTAATTTATTTCAAAGTACCTGTCAGCAAGTATGTCTGTAACAATACAGGCAAACACAAAAATTCCCCCAGGAGTAGAGAGTTAAAGAAACCCCTATGACAACTAAGTTCTTGTTTCTCTGCCTCCTTCCTAGCCCAGAGCCCAGCTGGGGGGGCCAGATATCCCTAAACCCCTTCCCGAGCCCATCCACAGCTCTCCACCCCCCAGCCAATACACCGGAACCCCACGCCCCCAGCCGCACGGCCCACCTGGCCCAGATACAAGCACACTCTCCCCGCCCCGAGCCCAGCCATGCCCCCCCCAGCCCAGACACCTGCCCCCCTCCCCAGAGCCCAGGGATCCAGAGGGAGAAACAGCTTGTTGCTCAGTCCCAGGCTTGTGTGGAGTTTCCCCATGTGCCAGCCTCTCCTTCTTTCAGGGCATGCTGGGAACTGCAGCTGCCAGGAACCCTCTAACTTCCTCCCCTCCCCCCAGCAGGATCTTCTATGTGCAAGCTGGGCTCTGCCAGGTCCAACAGCCCCTAGTGGCAGCCAGCAACGTTGCAGCCCATTTCTGTAGGAGAAAGGAAATTCTGCGCGCACATTAATTTCTGCAAAAGTCTGCATTTCATAGTGGCACAGAAATTCCCCTGGAGTAATCTCGATTTTAGTAAGTCTTTTGATGCAGTCCCACATAACACCCTCATAAGCATACTAGGGAAATGTGGTCCAGATTAAATTAGTATAAGGTAGGTGCAAACTAGTTGAAACACTGTACTCAAAGAGGAATTATCAATGGTTCACTGTCTTACTGGGAGGACGTATTTAGTGGGGGCCTGATGAGGTCTGTCCTGGGTCTGGTACTATTCAATATTTTCATTAATGACTTGGATAATGGAGTGCAGAGTATGCTTATAATATCTGCAGATGACACCAACCTGGGAGTGGCTGCAAGCACTTTGGAGGAGGGGGTTAAAATTCAAAACACTGACAAACTGGAGAACTGGACAGAGGCACTGGCCACTGTCAGAAGACAGGATACTGGATTAGACTGATCACTGGTCTGACCCAATATGGCCATTTTTATGTTCTTATGTCTGAAATCAACAAGATAACATTTCATAAAGAAAATACCAGGAAGGAAAAAAATCAAATGCACAACTACAAAATGGGGAATAATTGGCTAGGTGATAGTACTGGTGAAAAGGATCTGGGGGTTATAGTGGATCACAAATTGCATATGAGCCAACAATGTGATGCAGCTGCAAAAGAGGCTAATATTCTGGAGTATATTAACAGGAATGTGAGATATAGGAGGCTATTGTCCTACCGATAAGGCCTCAGCTGGAGTACTTTGTTCAGTTTTAGACACCACACTCTAAGAAAGATATAGACAAATGGGAGAGAGTCCAGAGGAGAGCAACAAAAACAACAAAAGGCTTAGAAAACCTTACGTATGAGAGGTTAAAAAAAAAAAATGGATAGGTTTAATCTAGAGAAAAGAAAACGGAGGACCTGATAATCTTCAAATTCGTGCAAGACCGTTATAAAGAAGACTGCGATCAACTGTTCTCCATGTCCACTTAAAGGGCAAGAAGTACCGTATATACTCGTTCATAAACCAAATTTTTTTAGTAAAAAAGGGAAGCATCAGAGAAGGGGGTCATCTTATGAATGGGTATAGAGAGGGGAGAGGTGGGACACAGCCCCTCCCCGCAACAGAGGGAGCAAGGAGAGGCAGCACAGCCAGAAGAGCCAGAAGGGAAGAGGCAGGGCCAGAGTCTCTCCGCTTCTGACCTCGCTGCGCTCCCCCCAGCCTCCAAAGCAGCTGCAGCTCTGGCCCCGGCCCACCGGAGCAGGCTGCAGCTGCGACGCCCCGCCCGGCCCTCGCCAGATAAGGTGGGAAGGGATGGGATGGGGAGTGTGTGGGGGTCCCAGGCGTTACTCCCCTGACCCCCAGCTTCTCCCCCCAAAAAATTTCCCCACCAGTTGATGTCCCGGCCCCTAAGGGTAAGCAGCTGGCACGCCGGGACACTGTTTACTTTGGTTTACCTCCGTGCCTGCGGAGGCTCGAGGTAAATAAACCATCTCGGCCCGCCAGCAGCTCATCCTGATGGCCCGGGAGCCAAAGTTTGCCAACCCCTGAATTATAGGGTCATCTTATGAATGGGTCATAAAAATATTCCCTTTTTACTTATCCATCGTGGGGGAGTCTGCTTATAAACGAACCGGCTTATGATCGAGTATATACGGTAATCAGTTTAATCTGCTGCAAGGGAGATTTAAATTAGATATTAGAAATACTTTCTAATCATAAGGGTAGTTAAGCACTGGAACAGGTTTCTAAGGGAGGTTGTGGAATCCTGTCATTGGAGGTTTTTAAGAACAGATTAGACAAACACCTATCAGGGATGGTCTAAGTATACTTGGTCCTGCCTTAGTACACAGGAGTGAACTATATGACCTCTCAAGGTCCCTTCCAGACCTACGGTTCTATGATCCTATAATGACAGAGACTGGCAGAGGGTGGAGATCACAAGATCCAGGACAGGGCAGATACCAGGTACAGGACACGTTGTCCATGAAGGAAGTACTAAAAAAAACCCACAACACCACAAAGAACAGTTCCACAGAAAATAGGGGATTTTCTACTGAAAACTAGACCAAAATACTGCAACACAGACATTTAGCATATAGGCCTCATCTATCCTACCTGAGTGGACAACCAGGTGTTTCCGAAGGCTGGAGTATTCAGCAAATGAACGACCACATCCTTGTGCCTCACACAGGAAGGGCTTTTCTCCTGTATTGCATGAAACACAAGTTCTTAGGCATTAACACCTGTACAACATTTTATCTTCCAACCTCTTGTAACATCCCTCATCCACATTCATTCCTCCCCCTTGGCCTTACATTACAGCTACCAAAGTTCACCAAGAAGGCAGACTCCTTATGAATTTGTTTAATGCAACTTCTTCATTGGCTGTCAAGAGTCTATGCTGAAACTCCTTCTCCTCCAGTCTGAATGTGACTCTTCCATAGCATTTCCAGCCCATGACTCACAAAAAGAAGCCAATCAGGGCTCAGCTTGTCCATCTGTTTCTTAAAACATCTTTCCAGTATTAGGTGCCCACAAAGTAACACAATATTCCAGGTGTGGTTCCATAAGAACTATGTAGAAACTGACTACAACCCTGGCTGCTCTGAGATGTCATGCTCATCTCTATGCAGCTCAAAAATCACATGGGCTTGATTTGTTGCCATACCATATTTCAAATCCATATCTGAATTTTCTGATTACTATCATCCCTTAGATCTCTTTCAGTCAATACTGCTTCTTAGTCTTCTGCCTCCCACAGAATATCTGTGTTTGGGCTTATTATTCCCCGGATGTATTTGTTTTCATATTCCTAGGCGGAATCTCATTGCTATTTCCTTCTCATATGTCTAATCTTTATAGATCCCTTTGTATTTCTCCAACCTCATCGGCGTTCTCATCTTCCAATTTAGAATCATCTATGAATTTCATTAACCTGTTCTTAACCCTCTTCAAGGTCACTAACGAGGATGTTAAATAAAATTAGGACAAACAGATGCCTGCAGCATCCATTAGAGAACTGCTCACAACTCAGTACACTGCTGCTTATTATTACCCCTTAATCACAGCCCTACAGACAAATTTTATGCTATGCATCAGTCACTGCCAAGGCAATTTGAAATACTTCACACAAGACTAATGAGACATTGTGTCAGATGATATAGAAAAATTCATGTATATTATATCTATCACATACCCTTCATCCAGTAATTTTGTAAATCAGTGAAAAGAGTGCTCATATATTTAATGTGACTTCTTCTTTCTAACTCTTCTCCCATGCAATTTATTGCTTGGCTTAATAGTTATTGGGGTATTTGATATATCTGAAAGGGATTTAGGTAACATGCTCTGACTTGTACTGTGGTAGTGAGAGCGTGCATAAGATTCTCATCAGCCATTTATGTAACTTCCACAATCTTGCTCAATATAAATATTAGGAAGAAAAATTAGTACTGATGACACCCAATCAGTGGCTCAGCATATAGTTCTATCTATAGAAATAGATGGTGGGTTTGTTTGAACACAACCACAACTTGGAACTGTCTTCATGTTTGGTACATGAGGACAGTTCCCCCAACTTCCTTAAGTCTCATTTAATTTACACCAAAGCAAATATTTGCCACTTATTGCTAGCCACGATTTGGGAACAACTGGTCCGAGACATTTTTTAGTTTAGATATGCTACTTTCTGCTGGGTTCTGAAGTCACAGTATACACAACATCAGGGCTAACAAACCTTAGCCCTCCCTGCAGAGAAAGATTAACAAAGTAGAAAACTGAGTCCAAAGACAACCCCAAACACACTATCACTACACATGCAAAACTTCACTATTCTGGTATATCACTTTCCATTATATCCCAGCTCCCATCCTTCAATTGTATGTTCTCTAGTTAGACAGTAAACTCTTCAAAGCAAGGATCTTGTCTTCATAGACATCCACAAAGCACATAGCACATTGGTGCAATATAAAACAAAACATGAGAATGGAGCACATATGTTCTGTGCTGCAGAAGTGTTTGTGGAACTACACTCAAAATCTGAGCTTTCATTTTAATAAAGTTGTTTTCAGCCTTTGCAATTGTAAAAGTAATTTTAAAACATTAACTGAGTAAGAACTGATGCAGTGTTCTCTTCCTGAGTCTCCAGTCTCAAACAATATTCTCAGACACACAGACTGCCCCATACATTTCAATCGATTATTAACACTGAAACCTAAAGATTTCAGTTTAAATGTCAATGTTGGGGACTATTAAACTATTGAACGTTTTAGCAGACACATCCAGATAATGTGCTTATCTCAATTACACACTGACTCCCCATACTTTTCTCGGAATATAAAGCCCCAAATACCCATTACTTAGCTGCCAAGATCTTCAGCTAGTCCCCCAATTTCTATGATGCAGATCTGGACTGTCAATGTAAAAATCTGCAGCATATTAAGAACTGAAAATGTGTGGAAACTTAAAAATAAATGTAATGTATACTACAACAAACAGGGGCTACAGTACAATTGAATTATTCATTTTTATATTTATTAGAAACCTTCATTTTTTATTTTAAATGTAATTGTCATAGAATTCAGGTCCAGCTGGATGCCGAGGGCCAAGCATACAGCAGTACACCTTGATTAGCATAGCATTTGTGGAGCACTTTACATTATCAGAATGCTGTACTAAGCATTATCATTGCTTCTTCCTAATAGACCTTTCAGCTATGATTTTTGATCCTTTCCTCTCTAAACATTGCCTCTGTAGACATTTCTCAACATATTTAACTTTTATTTTACAAGTAGCACAGGTAATGAGGGAGCGAAATTCAAGTTAATCTAGATTCTATCAACAAGTTCATGTTTAGGTCTCATTTAAATTTATACCAAAGCAAATATATGCCACCACTTGAATCAGTCACTAGTCCAGTTAGGACTGTATATCTAAATTCAACAGCAGCAAGGACATGGGGCTAGGTCAGGACTCACTCTGGACAAGTATCTCAACCTACTTTGCCTCTTTACTCATAAGAATTTAAAATGACTTTTCCAAAAACCCTTAAAATGCCAATTTTCAGTTATCATCCACCTGAGAACCACAGTCTTCTGAGAATTTAAAAAGGTTCTGGGACTGATTTAGGAGGGAAAACAGAAATTTATATAGTTTGGCTAAGTGACAACTAAAAGAGGAACATGATAAAAGTATACAGCATCTGAAGGGTGTAAGCTCCAAGAAGAGAGGAATTATGTAAGGTACTGCACGAGTAAACAGGTGGTTAATCACATTGATAAGTGATCGTAAGTTGGAAGATGAGGATACCAGCGAAGGTACATATGGACACTGGTCTCGCTGGACCATTTCTTGGGGAGTGTTTCCTTAATGAAGAAGATCTGGGATTTAAACGCACCAGTATGAATCCGCAGGTGGTTCTTCAGATTCCCAGCTGTTGTGAACTGCTTCCCACAGCCCACCTCAGTGCAGACAAATGGTTTCTCACCATTGTGAGTTCGCATGTGTACCTTCAGCCTTTGCAGGACATAGAAGCTTTTCCCACAACCTTCTGCTGGGCAGGTGAAAGAACGATCATTCCTGAGAGGCAACAAAAGAACTGCAGCAATGGGTTACGAAACAATTTTCTCAGGAATATTCAACTCTGCTGCAACATCTGTTTTTTAAATAAGGTTTCTACCTTTCACTCACTTTTCAACTGAAATGAATGGAGGCACAAGGAAATTAAGTGACCTAACCAGGTAAGTGGCTTAAATCTGTATTTAACTAGATTACTCATTAAGGAGCTTCTACCACATGGTCAGAAGTTGTAAAATCTGTTGGAAAAAGAAAACAGAAAATAAGTCCAAGCCTCTTTGGCTTATATCACAAGTTTTTTGCAACCTCAACTTTGTTTGGGACAGATGACCTTGTGCAAGGCAACATAATGCACAGATGTGATAACATTCCCTCATATGCCAGAGTTCGACGTAGCAACACCCTTACTATAGCTGGGATTGGGATAGGAGTGCTACATGTACACGAGATGGGGAAGCTGAGTTAACATTGTCCGTCACACAGGATATTTTAGATAGCTCCACTTTAAAATATCATTAACGACCAGCAGGAAGAGCCTAAATCCGGCTTACTTTTTTCAATGTATGTGGCATAGAGATGACTCTAACACATACAGTCACACTGTTCTAGTTTCTGAGGGGAGAGCCAAATTTAGAGATCGGCTCAACAGTTACCATTCCTTTCAATTTCTCTATTTTGTTAAGTTAGTATGAACTCTTGAGTCTTTTCTTTTTTGGGACAGGTGTGAATATAAGAGACAGTGCCAAGGTGAGGAGGCTCAAAATTCAAGAACCCTGTTTTCCTGACTTTGGATTTAAATACCATACCGCAGCCCAGTCTCATTTTCTTTGTGCGCTCCCTTCCACCAAAAAAACCCAAGTGAGTCAATATTTTTCTAGAAACACTTGGGCCAGTTCCAGCCTATTCAGCAACACTTTTTCCTTTTAATTTTCAAGTTTACATTAATAATGTTTTCTATGAACTAGGAGCTTTTCTGTAAAGAGGTCAGCTTTCCCTAAGCCACAGTGGATTTCATGGAGGATAAAGGGAATTTTCAAAATAAACATTTTTCTGTACTGGATACCCTTCCAGCCAGGCTGAGTGTGCGCAAGAGGGGCGTTGACCATAAACCCTTGTTAGGGAGACCATTCAGCAGCTAAATCTGGGTTTTACTCAATTTTGAGTTTCCCTTTGCCCTTCAGCTTCGAAGAAAGATTTTACACAATGGGAATTAATAAATGATGTTTTGTATAAAGATTGGGAATTTCTGTAAGGTCTTGCTTGGTCACCATAGCAGAGATCTCTGCTCTACTTACCTGTGAGTTTTTAAATGATATTTGAAGTGGGCTGGCCACACAAATGTCCGATCACAGCCCTCAACTGTGCACTTCAGCTTCTTCTCTACGCGGGACAGGTGAGGGATGGGGCTGGAATCTTTCGGCTGCCCATCTCCTGAGCAAAGATGAACACTTTCACCTAGAACAGAACAGAAAGAACTGTCAAAGTCCACAGCGGAGATGGATTACTGTATGAAAGAGACAGGATAACCCTGAGTATAATCCAGGCCTATAAACCAGATGTGTTCCTGGTTATCATGCATTTACCTAGTCCTAAAAACTAGATATTTCTACCCAGCCCATTGCAGGGACCACATACATGTCTACCTGTCTTCCCAAGCCTATAAACTATTCCCAGCAAGGTACCATATCATATCAGCTGCCTCCAAATCAGATTAATGATAGGGAGTGTGTAATGCTGAGAGATCAGAGGCCACAAATATCAACTAAATAGTAATATTAGGTTACTTCAACTATCCAAATATTAAATAGTCAAATGTCACCTCTGGATTCAGTCAGGATAAGCAATTTCTCAACACCTTAAATGACGACTTCTTGGAACAGCTAATTCTAGAGCACAGAAGAGGACTTAATTATTTCAAGATATAATTGTAGTTAAGCCATTAAGTGACCACAATATAATTAATAGATCAAACAGGCATCCCTCAGAAAACTGAATACCAAACCTAGTTAAGCCACTAGAAAGGCACATAAAATAAAGCAGGCAATATGAAAAATGGACATTATGAGGATTAAAAGGTAATTTGAAGACCACAAACTGTATACAAGAAGAAACAACAAAAGATTCTTTAAGCAGATCAGAAGCAGGAAGCCTGCAAGAGAATTGGTGGGTCTACTGGATTACCAGGGAATGAAGGAAGCAATTAAGGAGGTAAGGACATTGCAAAGAAATTAAATGATTGTCTTGCATCAGTCTTCACCCACAGAAAATTTTGGGGAGATACCTTTGGAGTAGGTATTACAGTTGAAGAACTGCTTTGAACTCAAACTATTGAACATATTTTCTTAGAAAATTAAATCTGTATGTTTTCAGTCCTAAGAGATACTGAAACCTTGCTTTAACAGAAAGCCTTAATAAAGCCTTAACTATAGAGGTGCTAACAATGCCACTATAACGATTTTGTCTATTTAGAAACTATCCTGCAATCAGATAGGATACACAACTAAAGCTACACCTAGTTGCCTTTAACAGAAGGTTAAATCTTTAAGATAGTAACAAGACATCACCTACCATTATTGCTTGCTTTGGCATTCTTTGCGAGCTGTGCTCGAGTGGCAGCAATCAAACTGTCATGGGCCAATTCCTGCACTCGTAGAAACCATGGGGTACTACTGTCGGTGCTGTCATGGGAGAGAAAGTCATTCCCAGAATCCTCTGCTTCATCCTGAACAAACACCAGGTGCTCTGCTGGACAGCCCAGGCCTGGAAGAGATGGCAGCTCCATGAGACAGAAAGATAGTCAATGAGAGGGGACTCTCTTGCTTCTCAGAATCTAATATCCATGGTACAGACATAATATTTGCATTAAGTCTCCACTGACCTCTGTATTGTGGAAAGCTGCTGATGGTTACATGCTCCTGAATAATATCCACCAATACCCAGAAAATTTCATATTTCCCCTTCATAAGCAGCTGGGACAAAGATGCATTTGTATCTCCCGCATTCTACTGTCTGAAACAGATCCAGCCAGATGACAACAAGAAGGGGAATTACCTGCTCTTGTTAGATTGAGAAGAATAAAGGAAGTGCTGTCACTGGGCTGGAGGTCTTGCAATAAACCGGAAGGCTCTGGACTTGACAGGAGCTCAGGTGGTTTCTGTACTGTTTGTGCCCTTGTCTCCTCGCCGTCAGGGCCTACATTTACCTGAAGGCTTCTCAAGACAGCAGATGAAGGAACATCTTTGGAGGAGTTAGTGTGACTTGGAGAATCATCTAGTGAAGAGAATGAGATCACAGATCTCTAAGTAGCAAAGCTCCACCATTAATGAAGAAGTCCTAATAACTCTTCTGAACCTATCCCTCCTCCACCACCAGGATCCCTTCTCAGCAAGAAGTAGGGAGAACATGCTGCAGTGGCACAGTGGAGACAGCTATATAAATAGCACTCCCACACAAACCTGTACCATAGATTTTACCTGGCAACATCAGTCTGTTGCATTCTGAGGTCTCAGTCACAGGAAGGAGGGAGAGACAGGTGATGCCTTTAGGTTCTGATTCCACCAGCCCCCGCCCCAGTGGAATAGATGTGTTCTGAACAAATTGAACCAGCAGCTGAAAAAGAGAGGATCTTGAAAATAGGATTCAGCAGTGAGCAAATCTGTTTATAGCACAAGGTTCCAATGAGATAACAAAAGACATTGACTTAGGCTTCCTCTACCTTGTAATACACACAGAACCCAACCCAACATTCTTGGAAGTCCATGGAAGTCTTCCCACTTACTTCAGTGGGAACTGGATTGAGTCCATAATTGAAAAATTTAGCATTTATACATGACATCCCCAATTATTTCATGAGATTGATAATCTTGATTTTTCTTTAGAAATTCAATAAGAGAGCCTAGCTCACTATAGGTAGTAGTGATGTCTATTATTAAAGCTGCATATTACTTGCCATTACAACCCTCATTTTCTGTCCCTTATCACTGTCAAACTCTAACCTTTCAATCCAAAATTTTCCATGTTTAATCTCTGGCTCAAGTTGATTTAACAACAATTATTTTTAAATCAAAAATGGATTAGCCCTTTTCAAGAATGTAGGGAGTAAAACAGTAGGGAGCTCTGTCAATATAATAAATATTTTTGGGATAACCCTAGCATATCAAGGGTTTGGAGCAGGAACCAAAAATTTGACAAGAAATTAATCCTGAAGTCAGAGAAGTGTCCCTCTGAAAGTCTGCCCAGATTTGGCCAAGTTCTGAGCTGTAGAATTTGTACATTGTTTACTCATTCTCTCTTCATCACAAAATCTCTAAGTTCAAACTCTTGCCACACTACACTGGGCATGTTCCTGGGCCCCTCTAAACCTCTGTCATTCCAAAGTGAAAGCAAAGTTTTACTTCCAGGACATTGACAGAAAAAAATTGATCCTCTCACCATTGTCAAATTCCACCCGCAAATCAAAACACCCTTTGACCTACAGAAGAAATAGTGGGCTAGGAGCCAAGAGACCATTAATTCCAGGCCAACCTTTTCCAATGACTCACAATAATTCTGAGCACTACTCAACCCTTATTATCAAGCAAGGCATCAAAACCTCACACCTAAGAAAACATGAGGATAAATTCCTGGGGAACAGAGAGGCTGCACAAGGTCATTTCTGGCAGATCTACAAAGAGAACTCAGATCTTATCGACTTAAGACATTCTGCCTCAGAAAGAATATGCCAAATCTATGTGCTTGGGGTCTGTAAAATGGAGCTACTCCTGCTTGCATTCACAAAATACTTTGAAACCCACATATGGATGAGAATCATTAAAAATATACCACTCAGGAGTCTTATCCTTCAGTTCCGTGCTCTGTCCATTAGACACCCAGCATTCTACCGCTGTCTAATAAATAAATATATGATGGAATTTCTATGTCCTTTTAAATTAAAAAGATAAAATTCCAAAAGAAATCTTAAGAGAACTTTACCCTTATTGTGATATAGCCTTTAATTATATGTTCACATACAGCTCAGTGACTAAAGCTGGCTATCTGTAGGAGTTCTCCCCCTCATTACACACCTTCCAACTTTGCAACTAATGAATGAGACAGAGGGCTGCAGACAGAGAAATAATGGTTGCATGATAAGGGGACTGATCTGGGACCAATAGAGCTGGGTTCCATCACTGCCTCTAACTCAGACTTACTATGAGATGGGGAGTACGTCACTATATAGACTAATTAACAGAGGTAATTGTGACAGATATAGCAACCCCATGTAATATCTTTGGGCACCATACTGCTGAAAGCTTATAAATAGTTTATATATGATGGTGTTCTGCTCCATGAGGATGGGTTACCATAGCTCCTACAGGACCTAAAAACAGTGGGGGATGATTAAGGCGAGTAACTGAGACTAAACAACTCAAGAGAAGTTCCACCCCCAAGGCAGTTTGCATATACTGGTTCAGGGTGGGTTTTCCAGACATTATGAAGCAAAGAAAGGGTTTTTGATATAAAAGAATGAGCTTGAACTGACTTGTGGAATTCTTTTGGATCCGGCAAATGGACACGACCTTCTGTCCAATGGGGCCCCAACCCATGCGGAAAGGTTGGAATGACTTTGGCCTATTTAAGCCCCAAGAGACTGATGGATGACTCCTGATATGGTTAGTGTGTTTAAATCTGCTTATTGTTTTTATTACATTTTCTTTTAAATGCTTTTACCTTAAGAATAAAATTGCTTGCTTAGAAAGAGCTGTGTGGTAACTTGTAACTGCTGGCAATACATATATTCATAGCCCTCAGAGAGAAAGCAAAGCAAGGTTCTTGCCTTTAGGCAGACTGGCTTATTGGGGATATTACAGTGTAAGGCAGGGAGCTGTGTAGCCTTAAAACCCTTGGTCAGAAGGAAATGGGACATGGGTCCCTATCCAGAGACAGGTGATGGATGAAGACCAGTCTAGCTGCTCCTGGAGTGGGGGCAGGGGAAAATACCGGTGCAGTTACAATAGTGAGTACTGTCACAGTTTCAGGGTGCGTGCCTCATTTTCTGTGTACCCAAAATTACACACTCTGAGCTTTATTTTCAGAAGTGCTGAGCACTCACAAATCCAAATGAAGTCAATGGGAGCTGCCAGTCTTTTAAACCTCTGCAAAATTAGGTCCTAGGCATCTTAAATTGAGAATTATATTACACCCAAAATTAGTGGACCCCTGAAATTTCAGACCCTAATTTATCTATATCTTTACCAGCTCCCCCACCTCCCTAACTCTCTAAGATATTGTGAAGATAATTTAAATTGGTGTGGCACTCAGAGGGCCATATGCAAGATGAACTGGGCCAGAATCCAAAACCCAATTTAAAAGATCATCAATTCTTATTAGTTATAATACAAGTAACATCCAGAGGCCTCAATCAAAATTGGGGACCATTTTGCCAAGTGCTCTATAAACACATATTAACAGATATTCCCTCTCCTGAGATCTTACTTTTTAGTTTAAGACAAGATTCAACAACAGGGTATGGTTAACAGAGTTGCACATCTTGATAGCTTAGTCATTCAAAGTTACTGGGGTGGTTTTTTTAAGATATAAATATGAAATATTAAATTATATCCATAGCCCCTATTGCATGCCATGAAATATATATTAATATAATGAAATGTGGCCTGGCTTATTACTAGAGATACTTTAAAAAAAGATTTCCTCCTACAAGGTGGCTTTGGCTGAAACCATCCATCCACATGTAGTAACGTTAGGCTATTAGATGTGGCCAAAAGCAACAGCAGAAAGTCTCTTCTAACAGAGGGAGTCTTTTAGTTTTCCCCAGCATAATGACACCAAACCAGTATGCAAAACCAATAGGATAAAAGCAGCAGGCACAGGTAAGAGTATCAAATCTCCCTTATTACAAACATTCTCAAAGAGATGATCTTAAACACCACAATGGCTTTTTTTAAATCCTTCCTCCCAAACATTATCAAATTGACCCCCTCCCAACTCCACCACAAACAATCCAAGGACAGTCAAACATTTTCATAAAGTTGTCACATCTTAACAGAGAAATAGTCTCAGGGACACCTCCCTTCCCATTCACAATCACTTGATATCCCTGGGACAATTAAAGAGATTGATCGCATGGAAAAGTCACATTAAGAAGGTATGTAATGCCTTTTTAGTTTCTTTTAATGCAATTTTGAAGCTGGAATGAAAGGGGAGCCACAAGCACCATGTGACCAGCCAGCAGTCTGAACAAAGATTTGGAAACTTCTGGAATAACCCGAATTTCCAGAATCTAGTAGCGTCCCTCTGGCAGGAGGGAAAGAAGTTGTTACAAGGATTAACAACAACAACAAAAAAAAAAACGGGAAAATATATTTTCTCAGCCACCGTTATTTTATTCAAAAATGGCTGATGAGACTTTGCTCAAACAAAAAAACAATCCAAAAAGTCAATACTTTACAATATTATAAACCACTGAAAATGTCTGATTATAAGAGAAAATATTCTGCAATCTTAAATATAGGGAGTGCTATCATTATCTGCTATGTTTAGGTAGTTTTGAGGAATTACCGTCTACATGGCAAACTGCCTCTTCTGCTGAACTTAAGAGTTGGACCATGAAACAGAAACCAAGTCAGGAACTGAACCCAGTTCTGAGCTGCTTACCTCTGGTTTGGATTCTAACTCATCCGATAACATTGATTCAAGTTTCCGATTCCTGCAGCTGTTCTGGGCAAGGCACAAGTTTAGAATTCAGAGTGAACAGTCCCCTCTGATTATTCTCATAGTCTCCTAGCCTTTAAGCAGTGCAGTCTTCCTGCAAGAAGCTGTGCTAGGCAGATATTCAATTTAACCTAAAACAAATAAAAGAATGGAAGTGTAAGCAGCTGAGACCTATCACTCACGAATCAAAGTAAAAAAATATATGAGTATTGTTAAGGAGTACAAAATCCCTGTCAATATGGATGGTCTCTCCAGTTTCTTGAGGTTCTGTTTTACACTCATCTTGGTGTTTATAGTACTATCACAACGGTATCAGAATGCTAACAAAACAGTCTAAAGACAAATTCAATTTTAAAAAACTAGTCTCTATGCCTCCCTTCTATTATCTAATTTAAGACTACACAGAGTAAAAAAAGCAGTACTTTCTGTTGCTTATATACAGAGAAGCATTGCCAAGCCATTCTTCAGGGGCTGTTGCAAACATCTGGGCTTATTCAGATTGTCGGTGGAATGAAATTCCATAGCCAAGGATCCATAATCAAGAAAGCTCTGCTAACCTGTTCCCAAAAAGTCATCTGTTTTCTGAATGTCAAAAAGTCCCTGATGTTCACAGATCTCTTTTGATTTAATTTCACCTCAGGTCTCATACACACTGCACCTATAAATTAACCATGCTATTTTTTCTACAAATTAGGAAGGAAGCTAGATATATTTTTGTTCCCATTTCTGGAAAGTCCTCAGATAGGAGTGATAAGAATCAGCAAGAAATTATTATATCCAGTTCTCCTGCTCCATCAATATCACAGCTTCTTGCAAGTCCTAAAAAATGTAATAATCTGAAAAAACACAAGTTCTCATTCCAGGTCAGATCAGCACAAAAACTATTATAGAGCCCTCTTGTAGGACTCCCCATGGGTTGTCTGTCCAGATATAGGATGCTCTAGGCAGAAGCCATGTCTTGTACTAACTGTACAGCGACAAGCCCACTGACTGAACTTAATAAGTAAATAATCATAAAATAAAAACAGGGATTAAAGCTTCAAGGGGACTCCTGTTGCTTTGCTCATGTTCTAAGATCCCCTTTGCCTTTCAAACTGCAGACTTGGCTGGGTCATTCATCGGTCAGTGGCCATCACACCCAGTGAAATAAGCTACTACCTAAGGGATGCAGGGACCAACCAAGTTGCACTGGTTACGTTACAGGAGCGAAGAAGCCCGGGTCCCTAGTGCGGCTCTGCAGCCCTTCCAAAGCGGTCTGAGATTTCAGTATGACCCTTCCTGGCATCAGTGTTACACACGCCAGCACCACAGCCAGCCTCACACGGTGTCTGCGGGCGCTGCCCAGAGCAGCTGGCGGGCGAAATAAGCCAAGGCCGTGAAGACAGACAAGTGGGGCGCGACGGGCCGGGAGAGCCCGAGGCCAGGCCGGGGACCGGGCCGGACGGAACCGAGGGAGGCCCCAAGACCCACAGGCACAGTTGTGTGGGCGGGAAGGGGGGGTGTGTGTGGCACACACGCGCTCCCACCCCGCCCCCCTCGGGGCAGGCTCCCCCTCAGCGCGGTTGCCTGCCGGGTGTGTTCCCTTCTGAGCCCCGCTCCCCAGCTTCAGCCCCTCCGGGGAGGGCTCCAGCCCCCGAGAAAGGGGAGAGCCAGAACCGCCCCGCTCGAGCCCCCAGGTTCGGGGGAGCAGCAGAGCCCCGGGGACGGGACTGATCCGCGCGCACCCCAATTCGGAACCCCCACCCCCTTCTGACTCCCCCCACAATTCTTACCGGCATCTCAGAACCGCACGGATGTGACGTAAGCTCAAGCCGGAAATGCCAAGGCGTTCAGCAGCTCTATGGTCTGGGCGATTTTCCAGGCTGGCGAAGGCCTCAACTCCATGACGCAGGCGGCTCGAGCGGTTACAGGCACCGCCCGGGCCGGGACACCACATCCGGTTCCGGTTTCCAGCCGGGCAGGGGAAAAGGAGCCTCGTCTGCGGATGAGGCCCTAGAGCGCTGTAGCTCTGGCGCTGCGTCAGCCTCTCTACTCCTACAGGGGGAATCGCATCGCCCCCGTGACCCGGAACCCGCACCAAGCATGCCAGTGTCTCTGGGGCTCTTAACCCTGCTCCCGCCGCTGCAGGCTCCCTGCCCCTCTACTCTAGGGTGGACAATTTTCTGATTGCAGAAATCGGAACACCCAGGCCCTGCTCCCGCTCATTCCATTCCCCCCTCCCTCTGTGGCTCATTCATTTTCACCAGGCGGGGAGGGGGGAGCAGGGGATCGGGGTGCAAAAGGGGGTGAGGACTTGCTGGGGGTGCAGGCAGGGGCTCTGGGCTGGAGTATGGGAGGGGGTGTGGACTCTGGGAGAGGGCTCAGGGATGGGGCAGGGGGTTTGGGCTCCAGGCAGCACTTACCTCAGGCAGCTCCTGGAAGTGGCTGGCATTGGAGTTAGAGGGGGGGGGGGGCTCTTCTCACTGCCATAGGTCCCGCCCCCACAGCTCCCATTGGCCGGGAAGCTGCAGAGCCGGCACTCAGTTTGGGGGCAGCATGTGGCGCCCCTGTGGCCACCTCTGCGCCTAGGACTCAGATATGCTGGCCACTTCTGGGAGCCACGCAAAGCCAGGGCAGGCAGGGAGTCTGCCTTAGCCCCGCTGCACCACCGTCCAGACTTTTAACGGCCCTGCCGGAGACCCTTTTCAACTGGGCATTCTGGTTGAAAACCGGACACCTGGCAACCCTACCTGGGGCCAGCCGGGTTCTGCAGCCACCTTCTTAGCCTGGTTCAGGCAGCCCAGCCCAGATCCCTCCTGCTCCGCATGGCCTGGTAAATGGGCTGCCTGGACCCAGCCTGCTCTGCAGGAGCTCTGCTGCCAATCCTGGCCCAGCGCTCTTTCACCAGCCTGTCAGGCAGTGTCCCAACCAGCTCCAGTGTACAACAGTCATGAGTCCCAGCCCCCCAAATCATGAACTGTTAACAAATAATACAACAGGGGTTCTTTTATTTAAATTTTCTTTAGAGCTCCCATCTTCCAGTTTTTCTCTGTAACCAGCAGGGCCAGACGCTATGGGGTTGGGTGGTTTGTTTTGTTTAAATTAAAGCTTAGATTCTCATATAATCACGTGACTCCAGAAGCAGAGGCTTTAAGAAAGTCACCCAATATCACAAGACTCATGATAAACTCATGTGCTAGAAACACTGAAGGACCCAAAACCTAGTCTCTTCTCTTCTGCCACCCCACACCCAGTCTGTCTTCTATGCTTGCAATCTTCTCCCTGTTACTCAACTTGCTCCCCTTCAGGCCATCCAAAACAGTGCTGGTGCCTTTTTCATAAGTTTATACTGCTCCAAGCAGTCTGGTTAGTACCAGTGACTGCTGTCTGTCACCAGTATTATCTCATTGTTTCTTTGTACTCCCCATTCTGTTTGTATCCATGTGCTATCTCTTATACTTAGATTGCAAGATCCTCGGCGCAGGGGCTGTCTTTTTCTGTGTTTGTACAGCGCGTAGCACAAAGGCCTGGTTTATGACTTGGGCTCCTAGGCACTAAGGTAATACAAATAATGAATAGTAATACCACTAGCACCAGTGCCTGATGGGAGAACTGTCCAAGCTGGAAGTCTCCTGTATGCCTCCTTTCTACTAAAGGAAGATCTGTCCCTGTTGAGGACTCCCCCTCTATTTGACAAAGAAAGCCTGCTGCTTCCCACTATCCCTCCTTTCCAGTAGGATACATTTTTGTGTTTAGCAGGTACTGATTCCTTTCCTACCCTACTTGATATGCACCACAGCCCTTAATACATTAATCCTCACCACATCGCTGGGAGGTAGGGAAGTATGATTATCTCTGTTTTATAGATGAGAAACTGCCCAAGGTGTCACAGGAAGACTGCAACAGGGTAGAGAATTGAAACTTCGTCTCCTGAAGCCCAGGCTGGTACACTAACCACTGGACCATTTTTCCTCTCATCATACAGTACATCATCTTTTACGTTGGAATGTCATTTCACCATATATTAATACACATGAAACCACAAATTGTTGTGCTCCCATTCCTATTTTGATCGGCCTTAACCAATAGTGCTGAGCCAGTACTCACAGTGAGCAATCTCAGAGATCTGTGGTTTCACAGCAGCTCACCAAGTTAGGGTTATTGAGCCAGTGAACTCACAAATGCACATCTTCATACAGCCCTACAAAGCTAGAGTGGATAAGCAGATAACCTTGCAAAGGCTCGTAACTTAGCTTTTGCCCAGCTACTGAATATGAAAGCTCATTGAAATTTGCATATTGCCATTAGGCCAGTAATACAGAGTTTATGAAACAATGACCCTTGCAGCCTTGACACTAGCTCAGTATGCTAAAGCTGCAGAACGAACAGTCTCAAAGATTGGCCATCACATGCAGTCCTCAGCTAAAACCTCTCCAACGCATCATCAGTGATCTACAACCCATTCTGGAAAACGATCCCTCACTTTCACAGGCCTTGGGAGGCAGGCCAGTCCTCGCCCAGAGACAACCCGCCAACCTGAAGCATATTCTCACCAGCAACTACACGCCACACCATAGTAACTCTAACTCAGGAACCAATCCATGCAACAAACTTCGATGCCAACTCTGCCCACATATCTACACCAGCGACACCATCACAGGACCTAACCAGATCAGCCACACCATCACCGGTTATTCACCTGCACGTCCACCAATGTAATATACGCCATCATGTGCCAGCAATGCCCCTCTGCTATGTACATCAGCCAAACTGGACAGTCCCTATGTAAAAGGATAAATGGACACAAATCAGATATTAGGAATGGTAATATACAAAAACCTGTAGGAGAACACTTCAACCTCCCTGGACACACAATAGCAGATTTAAAGGTAGCCATCCTGCAGCAAAAAAACTTCAGGACCAGACTTCAAAGAGAAACTGCTGAGCTTCAGTTCTTTTGCAAATTTGACACCATCAGCTCAGGATTAAACAAAGACTGTGAATGGCTAGCCAACTACAAAAGCAGTTTCTCCTCCCTTGATGTTCACACCTCAACTGCTAGAAGAGGGCCTCATCCTCCCTGATTGAACTAACCTCATTATCCCTAGCCTGATTCTTGCTTGCATATTTATACCTGCCTCTGGAAATTTTGACTACATGCATCCAACAAAGTGGGTATTCACCCACGAAAGCTTATGCTCCAATACGTCTGTTAGTCTATAAGGTGCTACAGGACTCTTTGCCACTTTTACAGATCCAGACTAACATGGCTACCCCTTTGATACTTAATCTCAAAGAGGCTGAGCCTTATCAGCAAGCTTCACATACTGAGTTAGTGATCTTGCAGAGACCTGTGCCTTGACATCAGACCAACATGCTAGAAGTGTGAATTCACTGGCTCAGCAAAAACAATCTATCTTGACACCAGACCAGTGAGTTATAGGAAATGAATCAGTAACCTCACAAAGGCATGTCCACTAACATCAAGCAAGTGAGCTGAATATACTGAGCTAGAGCCTCACAGAGCTTTTCACCTGTCATCATTCCACCAATCTGTAGTTGCTAAATCAGTAACCCTCTTAGAAGCCTCTGCCCCAAAATCAGCCCAGTCAATCAGTGGAGGTGAGGCAGTGACCCTCCTGGTTGATGTCAAGAACTGAGAGCTCTCAGAACGCTGTGCTTTAACATCAGACCAGCAAGTTACAGATGCTGAATCAGTAACTTTAGAGGGTCCTCTGCCTTGATATACTAGACAGCTAGAGGGATTGGGACAGTTATCTTACCAAGGAATGTGCCTCAAGAGACATGGAGGAAGCTAGAGATGCTGACCCAGTGATATCACAGATATCCTAGCCTTGATATCAGCCCATCAAGCAGTAGCTTTTGAGCCAGTGACCTTACTTCCCAGAGACCTGCCCCTTTACATCAGACCAGCAAGCTGGAGGTGTTCAGTTAAATAGCCTGAGTCTTAACATCATCTTAGTAAACTAGAGTTGCTAAGTGGCTACACCACAGCCTATCCTTTGACATTATGCCAACACAGTTGTAACCAGCATCCCACTCAGTAACCTCATACACACCTTTGCCTTCACATCAGCCCAGCAGGCTAAAGGAGCTAAGCCAACAAGTTCATAAAGCATTCTGCTTTGATACTATTACATCAAGATACTATTATACCAAGATTGACATTTTGGTCAATTAATTAGTAATCTTACAAAGACCTGTGGCTTGATATCAACTTAGCAACCTAGAGTTGTTGAGCAGATATTAAAGTAAGCGGGAGTGCATGGGAGCAGTTTCCCTTCTGGTAAAAGCAGAGAGAGAATCCACTCTTATCCTGCTCCAGAGTTGTCCACCCTCCTCCCACTTCACTGGCTAGGGAACTGAGGACTCATCTGGTAGGAGAATCTGAATTGTGAGCAGCAGGAAGAGCTGGTGCCTTGCTGAGCAGTTTATGGGGCTCCAAGTCTTTCCTGTGAATACATGGAATACCTCCAATACCCAATGAGACATTAATTATTCATATTGGAAGTTCCATATCTGACATCTTTCTTCTACAGGAAGATCTGTCCCTCTGGTGGTTCCCCCTACAATCCAGACAAAATAAGAGACTCAGCCACATCTCCTCCACAACCTACATTTCAGGATAAACAGCCGAGTACTGAGAGTTCCCTCTCCCCTCCTGGCAGGCCACTGATGATTGTGTGGATTAAGAAGATGGTTAGGAGATACATTTTGAGTTCTGTTTCTGGGATCAGTGAGCTAGTAGTACTTGATACACGCAAAACTGAGTGTGATTGGTTAATATAAATATGTAAATCATACAAAAACCTATGTTAAAATAATGGTAAGTCTGCAAAGTCTAGCACCTAAAAGTTAGAAAATGTCAGAGGTAAGGTTCCTCATGCAGAAGACAGATTCCATTCCCCTTTATGAGTTCTATTGTAGTTCCTGTCCCTCCAATATGAGTGTGATGACAGGTTCTTTACCCACTCACCTCCCTGCACCCTATGACTTTGTAATCCCCTTTCTCCCTCTTCTAGACTTGATGGCATTCCACCCAAGCTGGAACAAGTGAGCACTGACCCCACATCAGTTCTTAAAAGTGTGTGCATCAGGCAGGCTACCAACAGAATGGAAAAATGGCATCATAGTGTCCCTGTACAAAGGTAAAGGATCTTGCACTGAGTGTTGCAATTACAGGCTGATCTCATTGCTATCAGTCTCTGGAAAGATCTTTGCTAACATTCTGCTTGGTAGGATGCAGCCTCTTCTTAAAAGGCAACATTATCCACAGCAATCAGGTTTCACTGCTGGGCACTTGACAGTGGATGCTGTCTTTACCCTGCAGCTTCTGGCTAAGCTGCACTGAGCCAGACTTCTTTTGGCCCACTTCTTGTGACATATAGCAACATCAAAGTAGCTTTTTATTTGGCTGACAGGTCAGCACTTTGGCTCACACTGAAAAGAGTTGGCATCCCAGATGTTCAGATAAATCTGGTGCACAATTTTCACAACGCCCCGGCACTGTTCTGTCAAGCTTTTCACTGGACATTCGGACTTGCCACACCAAACGTCAGAATCAAGTTTGATCAAAGTGTTCACTGACCAAGACTATGACGATGGTGTTGCCCTGCTTGTGGTGAAGCAAGAGAATTTCAACCCTGTCTTTCAAGGTTTCCAAGATGCTTCCCACACACTATGGGGTTGAACATCTCATGCAGAAGACTAAGGTCCACAACTTTGGAGCTGGACCATTAGAACCCCTGGTGCACATGCAGTCAAGCACCTAACTAGGTTGCAAGCAGAGTACAAATGGTTGCAGTAAACGGGATGTCCTCCGATGAATTGGTCTTGACATTTCCTGCACAAAGTCCATGTTTTGCTTATGGGAGCAAAAATGTCTGCACTGAGACAAACTTTAGGTTCAAACAAACCTGTATTCCACCTGTATTGCTACATGGGTCAGAAACCTGGACCCTCTTACAAGTTGACTTGGAGCAGTTAGATGCATTCTATATGCTCTGTCAGCACCAAATATTGGGTATAAAGTGGTTACATTTTGTGCAAAATGCCATAACCTCACAGATATCTGGCCTTCCTTCAATCACTTACTATATTCAAAAGCAGCGTTGCATGCTCTTCCACCATGTCTCCTGGATGAACACCATGCTCTCCTTCGATGTGCAAAGGGGTTCACACCTTAACCCTACCCGCCATTGCCTGTGGGGGCCGCCCCAGAGATTCATGGATTTGCAGGATTGAGTGAGCCAGACCTGGGAATGTCACCATCCGATGCCTGCTGTGATGCCATCAGCCCTGGTTGTTCTCGCTGGCATGCAGACCCATAGTGGACTGTGCAAATCTGATGATCTCTCTCCCTCAAGACCTGATTCTGGAGGGAGTTAGCCTGCCCCACACCCCACAGGAAGGCTTGGTGGTATCTTCCATCCTCCCCCACAGCTCAGTCCAGAGGTAAGTTCCATTTCCCTCTATGAGTGAGGTGCGAGGTTCTTTCCTCCCCCCTCCTAGGTCAGTGGTAGCATCCGCAATCCGCAGAGCTGGGTCTAGACGAAGTGCCACCCCCCTCTACGAGTTAATTGGTAGGATCCATTCCTCCCCCGCGGCCGGGTGCGGTGGTTTGCCCCGGCAGTAGCCGAGTCTCGGCCGGCCCCCGCCCCCTCCGCCTAGTCATTGATGTTGTTGTTTTTGTCGCAGGAGGCGGAGGCGAGGCCGCGGCCTGGGGCTGCAGCAGTGGGGCTCGGGCCGGCGCCAGGCATGGCGGTGTGCGGGGAGGCGGTGGGCGCCGGCTCCCTGCCCAGCGAGCTGGTGGTTCACATCTTCTCGTTCCTGGCGGGCCCGGACCGGCTGCGGGCCTCGGCCGCCTGCTCGCACTGGCGGGAGTGCCTCTTCTACCCGGCCCTGTGGCCCCGGCTGCGCCTCAGCCTCCGCGTCGCCCCCGCCGAGCGGCCGCGCCTCGACTTCCTCATGCGCAAGTGCGGCTGGTTCGTGCGGGAGCTGCGCGTCCAGTTCGCCGCCGACAACTACCCCGGCGGCGGCGGCGGCGCCGGCGGGGTCTGCGAGGGGGCGGCGGCCGCGGCCGAGGGGGAGACGCCGCTCTGCCCCCGCTGGCTGGACCTGCTGAGGACCTACCTGGAGTTGGTGCTGTGCGTGCTGAGCAGCGTCCGCAATAACAGGTACCGCGGGGCTCTCCGGCCCGGCCTGGCCCCGCCCGCTCCCGGGCGCAAGCCACCCGGGGTGGGGGGAGACCTCTTAGGCCCAGCTCCTTCCAGCCCCCTTAGACCCAGCCCCCTTCCCTGGGGGGGGGGGTCCCCCTGCGGCCCGGCCCCTTCTCCTAGCCCGCCCTCCTGACCCCCTCCCCTGTGCGAGATCCCTTCCTGCCCGGTCCTTTTCCCCAGCCCGGCCCCTCTCCTGGGGGGATAGCCTCCGGCCCTGCGCCTTTCTTGGGGGTGGGGGGGACCCCTCCGGGTGGGCCCCTTTCTCCAGCCCATCCGCCCGGCCTCGGCCTCCTTCCTGGGATATGTTAGTAGAAACATCTTGCTCTAAACAGAGAAGGAAAGGTTGGGGGTAAGAGTTTGTTTAGTAAAACTGCTTACGGAAAGTGTATTCAAGCAAATCCTGGAAGCCAATTAGATTTACCTGTGCATATTTTAAAATAAAGGGCATAATGGAGGCCACAATGAGGAATAGGTCATGGACTGTGTGTGCTGATGCTTCATGAAGATAAATTGTGAAGCATCTGCAAACTGATAGCTAATTCACACATCACGTTCCATGTTCATAGGAACTGTGCTTTGATGAGATGTAAGAATTAAGCGTGTAAGAAATTGTCTCAAATAAAGCTTTATCTGGTATCTGTGAAATGTAATTTCTATCACTTCTTATAGTGCAAACTTTGGAGTATTTCATAAATAGTAAGTAAAACATATAGTAATAATTTATTAAATTAGTGTCTTTGTAGTTCTTTATCAAATAGCACTAGGGTTACAATATATAAAGTAACTTAAACATATTTTGCATTGTATCATGTCAGCTGTGGAATATAAATATAACACAAGATATAGAAGTAGATTAACTGACAATTTACACTGCCCTGTGATACAAGGATAATTAGAGCTGTACAAAGAAATCAAAATCAAATGTAGGGAGGATCAGAGCTGTAAGCTTGAGTTCTGGTGCGTATCTAGACTCCATTCTTTCAAAATACTTTAAATGTGTCTTCATACTTTATTCATGCATGAACAGACCCAACAGATACATTGTGGTGAAAACACTAATGTACACGTTAACACTTTTTTAAATTTACACTGTTCCTCCCACCACCGAGCTGTGATGTAACCTTGGTATTGAAAAATATATTAACTATAATAGTAGCTCGGGTTCCTGACACTCAGTAATTTCTGAAACAGTTTAGTCTCTATTAGAAGGAATCTTGTATTTAGTCAGAGAGAAACTATTAAAGATGAGTGACCTTTGACCTTGGGAGATGATAAAGAGGAGGATGGTTCAGCGGTTAAGGTGCTAGCTTGGAATTTGGGAGGCCTTGGTTCAAATCTGTGCTTTGCCACAGTCGTCCTGAACGATGTTGGACTCTTAGGGTATGTCTATACTACCTGCCGGATGGGTGGGCAGCGATCAGTCCAGCAGAGGTTGATTATCTCATCTAGTCTAGATGTGATAAATCGACCCCTGTGTGCTCCACCGCCGCGAGAGGCTCAGGTGGAGTCGACGGGGGAGCGGTAGCAGTTGACTCACCACAGTGAAGAGACTGCGGTGAGTAGGTCTAAGTATGTCGACTTCAGCTATGTTATTCATGTAGCTGAAATTGTGTAACTTAGATTGATTCCCTCCCTCAGTGTAGACCAGGCCTGAGTCTACTTGTGCCTCAGTTCTCTCTGTAAAATGGTGGTGATAGTACTTCCTTACTTTGCTATGATAATGGTAGCCATATAAACAACTAAGGCAGAAAAGCAAGGGCCCATTAAGATGCTTCAGGGTTCCCCATCAATATTAGGCAAGGATATAGCTGGAAAGGGTTCCCGGGATCAAGAAGAAATTAAAAACTTTACCTCCCCACCATTACACAATTAACATTTACAGCTTTTTTTTTGTAACTTGGGTATCTTAAGCTGATTTACTGTTTTGTGGAAGACTACCCGAAAAGTGAATACAGTGATGTACAAAATTGGAACATATTAGGGCCATCATACTTCTATGGCTTTGGGGAGAAATCTTTTTTGTTTGGGTTTTTTCGTGCTTTTTTCTCCTGAGTTGTAGCTAGAGAATAATGAATATAATCGCTCCTTGGTTTTAGATGAGTACATACTTTTCACCTGCCAAATATCTCTTTCCGTTCCTCCACTTTACTGCAGTTAGCTCAGAGACACTTCCTATGTTATAACACTCAGCCATCTCACTGACAAAGCTTACTTTCTGAAAACCTCAGTTCTGCTCCAGCTCTGAACTGAGGACCCTAACCTTTATATTTTAGTACATGTTTTACTCTATTCTTCCACTTGTCAACAGTTTAGGGCTGTCTGTCTCAATCATCTGTGTCTGCTGCTATAACTCTGTTGTCAAGCTTTGTTACAATTCGTTAGTTCTTTCTTGTTGGTTGACTTGAAAATACATCTGCCAGTAAGTGAAAACTTCTGTATCAATGTTGATCTATCGGACTGTGTGAGGTGTGAGAGTTCAGCAGACTCTGTCTGAACTTGATGTTTTTTGTAAGGTCGGTATTTATAATTAGGGCTCTACCAAATTCACAGTCCATTTTGGTCAATTTCACTGTCATAGGATTTTAAAAATAATAAATTTAATGATTTCAGCTATTTAAATCTGAAATTTCACAGTGTTGTAATTGTAGGGGTCCTCACCCAAAGAGGACTTTGGGGGGTGGGGGGTGTTGCAAGGTTATTGTAGGGAGGGTTGTGGTACTGCTACCCTTCTGCACTGCTGCTGGCCGCAGCGCTGCCTTCAGAGCTGAGCCGCTCAAGAGCAGCAGCTGCTGGCCAGGGGCACAGGTCTGAAGCAGAGCCACTGCCAGCAGCAGTGCAGAAGTAAGGATGGCATGTTATGGTATTACCACCCTTACTTCTGTGCTGCCACTGGTGGGGCACTGCCTTCATAGCTGGGTGCCCGGCCAACAGCCACTGCTCTCTGGTCACCCAGCTCTGAGGGCAGAACCAAAGTAAGTGTGGCAATACCGTGAACCCTCCCCCCAAAAAATAACCGTGTGACACCCCCCCACCCGCAACTCTCTTTTGTGTCAGGACCCCCAATTTGAGAAACGCTGCTCTTACCTGTATAGTATAGGGTAAAATCTGTATAGTATAGGGTAAAAGCACACAAAAGACCAGATTTCACAGTCCATGACGCGTTTTTCATGGCTGTGAATTTGGTAGGGTCCTATTTATAATCCATAGTGCAGGAGTTCTTTTAAAAAGGCCAGACAGTCTTTATTTCTGCATCACTAAAAATTAGTCAACAAAATGTTAGTCTTACACACTGTTTATAATACTAACTTGGCAACAATGTAAATGTGAGTGGATTTCTAGTGTGCTGTGGCCCAGTGAAAAGTTCTCTCACACACTGTAAATGATACATAGTATCATTCCTGAAATTCACTACCTCTCTGCTGCTATCTCCTATTCCCCAACAAGTGCGTTTATATTAGGAGGGAGCTTTTGCTATTCTTAATCTGCCCTACTACTTTGCCAAGGTACTTTTTACATACATCCTTTTCAAATTGGTGGATGCTTTAGACATTTCTTCAGTAAAATGTTTGCTTCTCTGTGCTACATGTTGATATAGCTAAAATCCCCCCCCCCTTTTATTTAGCTCCTTTTAATTAAAATGAACTGTGGTGGAGAAATGCCTTGGCACTTCAAGGTCCCTTGACAAAAGAATCATTGTCTTGTTGCTAAGGCGGAATCAGGTGTCCTGTTGTGGAGAATCTCCTGTGAATCCTTTTTACATTTAACTCCAGCAGTTTAGTTCAGCTTCTGAAGTGTGCAGTGGCATGCACTATGCAAAATACAGTATACACAGACAGATCACAACATATAAAAACATGCA